TAATCGCTTTGAACAGTGTCTTTACTTGATTGATCTCTAGACATATCTAGCTAGCGGTGTCGCATACCACGTAACTTCATTAAGCGTTTAGCACTCACATATATATTAATGGTGGCCGGGTTTTTAAGAACTGTATTTCGTTGAACACTAATTTTGTGAATTGGCACAGGAATCTGAATTACTCCTGAAAACAATGAAATTATACTCTGTTTTGTCACCAAGAACTTTCATGGAGATTTGCTACATTTAAAAAAAGAACTTCTCTGACATCTGATTGACATGATCTAAAAAAAATCACATTTCCAAAACTATACCTATATGCTATTTGAAACATTTCCGCCAGGACAGTCATATTGACAATTTCAATTTTTCAAAATAACTGGCACTTTCCGCATATATATTTTAAACATTTATACGATTCGGAGTATTAAAATATATTCTTCTTTCAATGAGATAGTTATATTTGGCTGTATATTTTGTTTAGGGCAGAATCATTTTGTAACGTATTTTGGAACCTGTATGTGTCATTGTGTAACTATGTGTATACCTGTTATTTTGTACTTGTTTCTATGTTACTTTTGTGGTGCAGAGTATCTTCCATACGGATAATTTTCCCTGCTGAACAACCCTGTATCATTATTAGTATTTTTTTACGTGGAATCACTGAACAGCTTGCCATGGTTCTCTTTGTCAACAACCCTTTAAGTTCCAACCCATATTGTTTTGTTTCTTCGTTGTCCAACGCAGCAGTATTTCAGCCATATGACGGGGGTACTAACCCATGTGTTCCACAGAGTTGCAAAAACAACACATTTATTTCTTTTAATTTTTGTTTCGGATTTAGTCACGAATGGATCATCTGCAAAAGGAAAACGTAATGCTTATTCAAGGGAGCAGGACAATTCCCACCCGGACAATTCCCATCCGGACAAATGCCACCCGGACAATTCCCACCCAGGACAATTCCTACCTAGGACAATTCCCACCCAGTTATTTTCACTATAATGATGAGGACAATTCCCACCCAGGCTTTGAAATATTGAAATATTGACTTTGGTGTAATATTGAAAATGATAAAATATTGAAATTTTGACATTAAAGAAATTTGACTTTGATGAATATTTCACTTCGATGTAATATTGACTTTGATCAAATATCAACTTGATGAAATTTGAACTTAAGTGCAAACATAAGACCTATTTACGGCGAGTTGATGGATCATTTCCCGAACCTGCGGCTCCTGCCACTATGATCATCCCTGACAAGTACAAGTTGACTGGAGCGGGAGAAACCTTGTACTCCTGTTTCGTTCATGCTGGACTATGTCAATATGAGTTCATGCTATATAGTGCTTGTCAATATCAGTAAACATGTAAACATGTCAATATCAGTAACATTTGAAAAGTTGCTGTAAACTTATGTACTAGTATGTCATAAAATAGTGCTTCATTATTTAAAAATATTGTTATATGGTATTTATGTCAAAATGAATAAATATTGAAACTGAACTATGTTCTTCATGTTATTTTTATTTTGGGGTGGGAATTGTCCGGGTGGGAATTGTCCTGGGTGGGAATTGTCCTAGGTGGGAATTGTCCGGGTGGGAATTGTCCTACACCCCTTATTCAATATGTCACTGTTCGAGCAACTGACCCGAAGCAAGACAAAGCATGCTACGTGCGAGCATTTTGGGGTACAATGCTTTTTGTGATGAAAGCTTGTAGTAAATATGTTCGCCACCATTTGGAATATCTTAAAATGTACGACAGTATATTGGTTGATAAGATAGAACTACAGAACGGTAACTCAATATCAGTAACGAACATCTATATTATCGTTGTATATTACACATCACTATATCCTTTGTCATTAAATTTGTTCTGTGATCATGCAGTCATGGAGGGGTGCACTTTGACACATTTTTAATTTAGATATTAAAACTCTTTTCTTTGCAAGAGCTTGAGTTCATTGGATCTAAAGCTGTACCCATTCCCGACCATGTACATACATGTATATGTTCTCTATTATTTATGCGATAAGTGGTTCAAGGTGTACTGACCTCATAAAAGGATAGTTGTGTTTTGGACGAGGAGCCTGGTTGCCTTATGCAATGTTTATTTAGTTCATCAATTATCCATGTCTGGCTGCATGGGATGGAGAGTTGAACTATTATGTGTGCTCGATACCATGGCTGGAGAGCTTTTGTAATACTCCAATATGTCTTTCCTTTGGCTGCAGAGCTGGGATAATTCACCCTTTGTATTTGCGTGGGCTGCAGAGCCGTTATAATACTTTCGTGGGCTGCCATTCCGTTATATTTCTTTCTTGAGTTGGAGAGCCGTGATAATACCTTCGTTGACTGCAGGGCAGTTATAGTACTCCTATACTATTTTCGTTGGTTGCGGAGCCGATATTATATTCATATTTTCATTTTCGTTGGCCCTAGAACTGCTATAATACTTATATTTGTAATTTCGTTGGCTGCAGAGCTGTTTTAATACTCCTATATGTATTTTCATTGGCCGCAGAGCTGTTATAATACGCCTATATGTACTTTCGTTGAGCTGTTATAATATGCTCCTACATGTATTTTCGTGGGTACAGAGCCGTCATGATATTCTTACATGTATTTTCTATCGCTGCAGAGCAGCGATAATACTCCTGTATGTAATTTCGTGATTGCAGAGCTGTTTTAATACTCCTACATATATTTTCGTTGGCTGCAGAGCTGTTATAATACTCCTGTATGTATTTTCCTTGGCTACAGAAATGTTATAAATAATGCTCCTGTATGTAATTTCGTTGGCTGCAGAACTGTTTTAATGCTCATATATGTATTTTCGTTATTGGCAGGGCTGTTATAATACCCCTTTATCTGTTTTCGTGGACTACAAAGCCGCTATAATTCTCCTTATACGTATTTTCGTGGACTACAAGGCCGTTATAAAATTCATCTGTGTTTTCGTTGGCTGCAGAACTGCTAATATATTGTTATATGTATTTTGTCTTGCTGCAGAGCTGTTATAGAACTATAATATTTTTGTTTTATTGCAATGGTGCTGTAGAATGACTTCTTTGGCTAGCTGTTCCAATACTCATGAATGTTGATTTTCTGCAGAGGCTTTATGAATCTCATTGTTTGCATTCCACTGGATGCGGGACCGTTACAATATTGTGTATGTTTCTCAGGAACCCCTGTTGTGTTTGTATTGGTAATATTCTGATCAATTAATTGTTGCATGACATGTGTTCTCGCTATTACTCGCTAAAACTGCTGCAATATATGTATTTACATTGGGTGATGAGCCATTATGATGCATGTATACAGACTTGTATGGCTAAATTAATCGTATGTTTGGCGGAATCAATGATTTGCACTATGCATATTTATAACATTATGGGTGTGCTTAATTGTTTATATATGTTGTGTCATTGTTTCCATTTTGAGTGTTTGCTACTGTAAAGCCTCCAGTCGATGTAGAGCTGCATTTCATACAAAAATGCTTTTATCTGTGGTTTTACGTGTCGGGCCTCGTGTTTGTGTAATATACATGTACATGTACACATATATTTCGTATGGTAACCGACGTGTTCTTTATGTTCGTGGAAATGGAGATTTGGGCGGTGTTGTTTGGAGATGTTGCGAATGGTGACATAAAAGGACATGTACTGCACAGCAATTCCAGTTGCACTTGGTTTTATTTTGCTTATGGGACGGTTGGGTATTCTAGGAGAACACACATGCTCAGATATGTGACGAAAACTTAAATGTGCAACACTCTTTTTTGTTGAAATGTGTGCAGACCATTAAGCAAGTCAAAACCTCGTGACAGTTGATAGTTACAGGGAGAGTCAATCCATTACATTAGTTGCGTTGAAAATAAAAAGCATAAAAGAGACAAGAATGCAGATGGAATGAAATTTATATCTCTAAAACTATCCCCAATGCATGCGGGGTTGTGGGGAGTATCAACATCATAACATCGATGTCCGGATGACTGAGTGGTCTAAGGCGCCATACTCAGACCTTCACCAATAGTGGAAATACGGGTGTTCTGGTCCACGAATGTGGGCGTGGGTTCAAATCCCACTCCCGAAACAGTTTGTCCTTCCTCCAATCAAGCCTTTTTCTAAAGCTATTAATCTGACTTGCATTTTGCTGTCTTTTGGGTTAATAGCAGACATTCATGGTTGGGTGCTTGTATCATTCTGGAAGATACTTATCTATCTTAAAACCTGATCAATGGCATGAACAAAAACGAAACGATATTAGTCCTTTTGAATTTGGTGATTAATAGATAAAAGTTGTCCCGCCAGCCGGATTTGAAACAGCGACCTAAGTATTGCCAATTACAGCTCTGCCACTACAGTCCTCCGCTCTACCAACTGACCTATCATGCGTCTTGACACTAGAGGTCGTTTTAAAAGACACATTTGTTCTTAATCAATAGGGCATTTCTCTCTTGACTGGACAAATACTTCCTCCTTGCTGACAGTGTGTTGTGGGCAGCAGCCTGAAGTGTAAACCCATTTCAACCTCAGAGCCATGTCTCCTCACACCAATCTTCAGTGGGACAAGTTGACACATGCCAAGGTGATTATGGAATCTTTTTGTAAAGAGCTTAATCCTCACAAACATGCCCAGCTATGTGACGAAAACCTAAATGTGCAACACTCTTTTTTTTGTTGAAAGGTGTGCAGACCATAGATCAAGTCAAAACCTCGTGACAGTTGAGTGTTACATGAACAGTCAATTTATTACATCAATTGCGTTGAATATAAGAAGCTGGCCCCAGACTCAAGGTACTGCATCAGACCTCCTTCCATAATGGAGATACGGATGTTCTGGTCCACGAATGTGTCATGAGGTTTTGGCTTGCTTTGTTGCACATAAGAGAGTTGCACATTCAGGAGTATCTTCACATTGCTGAGCATACTTGAAGGGATCAGGATCTCTGCCAAAAGATCATCAGCCAGGTGACCTTAAGAACAATGCATAGTTGCACACATCTAGTATTTATTGAGTGAACTTGTTTATCTCGGAAGATTCTATTGAAAGGTGTAGGCAATGTATTATTCTACATATTTTTCCCACATGAAAAGTCTCATATATTTACCAACATTAAGAAAGATGAAAATACAACACTAAAATGTGTTTAGACTAAACATTCTGGTGGTTCTTTACTCGATCAGATTAGGATATAACACATGTTTCAAGGCCACTGCCTGAAAAAATTCATGTTTTTTTCAGTTTCCCTTGAATTTCTCTCTTAATTCAAGTCAAAAGAGCCTTAGAACAAGCACTAGAGGAAGTGAATAAACTCAGAATCAAACATATCCTATGGCAGTGAGTCCTCTGTTAAATAGAATGTATAAAAAAGCTGAACAAATGCACACAAAATCTTCTGAATAAATAACATATTGAATATTAGTAGATACATTCAACATGGCAGTCATCATGCTTGTAATTTGTGAGTTAAATTCTAGGTGAAGTAATCAAAGTAAGAAACATTCATATGTGTTCTTCTAAAGTGTGTAAGCTCAAAACGGCTATATCAACATGGCATGACAGATTCACTGAATTTCATCAAATACATTGATACCATATAAAGTAAATGGCTTTTAAAATCACAGAAGATCAAGTACTTATTATTGAAAGGCTTTTCATTGCTGGGTAAATCTGATGTCCATTAAGTACTCAAAATACATTTCTATGCATACTTCATAAGTGACATTGAATTTTGATACATATTCTGTTAAATTTTATGTGAGGTTATTGCATTACATAAAGAAGCAAGAGATAAATTCTAAAAACCTTTATGAATGTAAAATCTTACTGTCATGTGTTTTGAAGACAATATGTTCTTGAGTAGCTATACTTGAATAAACGTGCCTCTGAATGTAAGTAATGTGTTACTTGTAACACATACCCCCCAAAAAAGGGGCAATGAAAGCCCTGGTATCCCGGTCAGAACGTTAGGGTTTTTTGGGGGGGTTTCAATTAATGACACCATTTAACTTTTGACTTCTCTTTCACTGATGGCTCAAGTGAGGTTTTCCAGTTTTACTGATGGCACAAAGTTGTAAATGTAAAACAAGCATATACCAGCCCAGAATAACATGTGTTCACATCCTACTGCTGGATAAAACAAGCATAAATAAGCCTTTGAATCAGTACAAAACCACACAGTCATTACAAGCAAATATACATGAAATATCTTCATATATTCATCTACATAATTGGTACATAATATTTCAGTCATTTCTCTTAGCACAACAGGTAAAGCAAAGCTGATGAAAGCACATAACTTCACACTCCTCATCTCATATGCATCACTAACAGACAAACTCATTCTTGTCTAATGGCAATAGGCCGATAACAATTTCAATAACTATGCCTAAAGGGCTTACCAAACAAGTAAAGTCATATAGGAAAAAAAGATGAAAATATGTCAACAACAAAAAGTTTGTGAAAAAGATAATGTAATAATAATGACCGACAAGTAAATTATTGGTTTCCCAGTAACTAGTGTTTACAACTGTGCGTCCGTGATCACTTAGAAGTATATACTTTGAAGTGTCCCTTTACTTGAAATTGGGTGACCATTGCCAGTCAAAACCTAACTATCTTATATGAAACAAAAAACGTAAAACTGACCATCAAACAAAGTGATGTACGTAGACCATGATGAAATAGTAGGTTATTTTCATCTTTAAGGATTGTATGAAATATATTGTACCTAATATAATCATAAACCTAGTTATACAGTGTGCTACAAAAAGATTTCATTCGTAAACATAACGGAAGAGACTGTATTCATGTTGAGGCTCTGTGTCCAAAAAGTGTGGAAGATGTCATGGTTCAAGTGCACAGTGGGTACTGTATAATAATTGTTGAGCACAGTGGATGACACGTTATGATTGTGGAGTGGGTTATGTGTGTCTTTTGTCATTTGAGTTTGTTTGAGCAGTGAACAATACATAATGTAATCAAGATTTTATAATGTATCATAAGTCTAAGGCCATCTGTTGTTAATTAAGTTGTGGACAAGGTAAAATCTTCCTGCTAGATCTTTTTGTTAAGAAATAAAGAGAGACACTCCCAATTTGTCCTCAATAGAATCGCCACAATTGTAATGAATTTATTAAATGTAGATATATAGTTTCTTTGGCCAGTTTCTTTGGTATCCAGTTACCAAAGTGAAATAAAGACATATATCATGAGGACAGCCTTTTTGTATAAAATGATAACATACATAAAAAGGTCCTTGACAGTTTGTCAGCCATTGGCATGGGTTTTTTCACACGCCAAGACAAAACATTGACAACTCTCTGTCTTAAATCTACTAAAGTAATGACATCTTAATTAGGTATTTTGTAAATCTACACAACAACATGGTGGATTAAATGAATAAGTAGAGCCATGTTCATTACACATGTTAAGTATGTACAAATGACGGACAATCCCAATCATAATGATCATCAGCTAATTCTCATTATTGTATCAAGTCTTAAATACAGACATCAAGCACAATTATATCTTGACTGGAAAATGCATAGTCGTCATCATGATCTGCATGGTCAGCATACAAGACCACAATATGGCTACTGGAATGATACATCACTGACTGAAAATACACCTACTTTACAAAACACTTACAGGGGAGCTCATCTCATAATTTTTCAGAATAAGCAAGTTTATTCACATTAATCCAAACACCCTCAAATCTTAAGATACAATCCATTAAGCAGTATATAACTGGACTTATTAAACAGAAAAAATGGTAACCTTTGCACCAATTACAATGTCTCAACTGTCATGCCTTCAAGGCTTCATATCAATGGGGTGTCTTCCTTGAGTGGCATTTTAGAAGCTGGGAAGTACAAAATTTGACAAACTTTATGGACAACAACTTCTTTATTATGAGACTGTGACGTTTCGATACAGATTATTGTACCTTTGTCAGAATACGGTACAAGAATCTGTATCAAAACATCGCACTCTCGTAATAAAGAAGTTGTTATCCAAAGAGTTTGTCAATTGGGTGTTTCTTATCCTCTACATGTGTTGTACCTTCATATCAATTGGGTGTCCCTTATCCTCCACATGTGTCATGAGTTCATATCAGATGGGTGTCAAATATGTCCCACATGTGTCATGCATTCATATCAAATGGGTGTCCCATATGGTCCACATGTGTCATATCACATGGGTCTGTCTTATCCTCCACATGTGGCATGCCCTCATATCACATGGGTGTCCCATATCCTCCACATGTCTCATGTCCTCATATCAAATGGGTGTCCCTTAAATGTTCATGCTGACAGTGTCATGATTTCAGGCCTGTCACAACAGTCAAAAACATCAGTCCCAGTGAATCTCTATGATCATAACAGTGAAATAGTGAGATGGTGTCAGGCCCCTGTGATGTTAAATTCACACTACATACAAAGCCCTGTTGATATAATATTGAATACTATTCTTGCAACATACTTACTTCATAACTTGTAAGAATTGGCCTATAAAGAAGAATGCTGGCAAACATATTTCAATGCATTCTCACCTAATATCAATCCATTTTCTTGTTTTACAGATAAGTCATTCAAGACTGAAACACACAAATGCTGTAATTGAATTGTATGTACCATTATTTGAACATTGCCTTGTGTGATTGTTTTCAAGCAGTTTTTCATGGGAAACTATCATCTAATCAACTGTGACAAGACCTGTAGTCCTTTGCTTTTTGAACTAGATAAAATCTTTAAAACAACATAATATCTGGCTTCATCTGTGAAAAATGTAACAGTTACTGCCAATTGTCTCTATGAAGACAAAATATTCCTATAATAAAAGAAAGCAGGAAAGATTCCATAAGCAGTGTCAAATATTATAAGTAGCAAAATGGAAACAGAAAACTATCAACACGTCAAAATGGTAAATCATCACACATGCAACCAAATGCTGCTGAAATGAAACTCAAGTTAATCATTTTCATTACCCACAAACCAAAATACACATTTATAATGAGTAAAACATATTTGTAATGAGAACACACATTTTCACAACCATTCACATCACAGACCAATATCTACGAAACTTGATGAATGTGTTTCATCCAAAATGATTTCTCAATGAACAAAGCCACTACGGGATCACAGTTAAAAACATCACACAAATATTCAAACAGTTTTCGGATTGTCAAACATCAAAACAAACAAAAGGGAAATACTGATCTTTCTACAGAACAAGATCACATTACTATTAACATTATCTCTGGTCCTGTGTTACTTATGATTTCAGTAACTCCTGTAACAATATAGATTTAAAGCCATTGTAGTGCTATATATTAACAAGGGCTTGGTGCGTTTAAGACATTCTTTTCATAATGTTAATGGTTTACAGAGGGCAATGAACTACAAGCTCACCATCAGTGTTTCAATTCTTTTACATTCATAGTCATACTGACATACAATGATTTTTGTTTTAACATTATGGATGTTTCACAAAGGTAATGGTCACATGCAATGATATTTAGTTTTAAGAGTTTTGGACGTATTACATAGGTAATGTTCAACGCATATAATCTCATAATGAGGATTGTGTTAAAAAGTTATGATGATCGTAGTGTCACAGACATGCGATGATCAGTCTCAGAGAATTCCTGTGATCATAGTCTCATAGACATTGTGTCATGATGTTAAGATTGGGTTTTGGAACAGGATCTTGATAACAACTGATATCATGTATCTATCCAACAAAATCAAAGTAGTCATGGAAACACATCTCAAGTCCCTCGTATTGAAAAGCCAACCTACTTCCTTCTCCACTGAATGAGGTAGCGTAAGCATGCCTGACCTTCATCGTACACCACAAATTCATTGTGGTAACCACTGACATATTGATCGTTGTAGTAAGAGTTGTAGCCTTTCTCACCAAGTGGAATCACATAGCCTGAAAGATTTAAGAAACAGAAGTTATACTATACATTACCATAAAAGAAATAATGGAGAACAAGGATCTTAGATTTAATTCCATGGAATAAAATATTTGCCAGGTCTGTAAATATATTCAACATGGTTACAATAATGAAGTTTGGAATAAAAATTTGTTGGCGACTGGTTCTTTATCAATCAGAGCACCATTTTCACAGGCTTTGTGACATAAAAAATGTTAGTCTATGTATAATAAGTGCCTATTTCAAATGTTCCCATATTAAGACATACTACATATTCGCTGTTTTTCTTTGATTATAAACATTATCTGGATAAACATATTCATTGATCTTCATTAATCATACATGTTGCCTAATTTTCATTGAATCTACTCACATTCCCTGGTTGTAAGTAAAATCTGAAAATGCATCTTTTCTGATCTTCACTGATAAACTTTGTTCCCTGATATTCATATATAATACAGATTCAATGATCTTCAGTGACATTCCCTGATCTTCGTTGATAAAACACATCTTATCTTCACTGATTAAACACATTCCCCGATCTTCACTGATTAAACACATTCCCTGATCTTCATTGATTAATAACATTCCCTGATCTTCATTGATAATACATGTGCCCTTGAACTCATTGTAAATACATATTCCCTGAGCTTCATTAAAATGTTCTCTGATACTGACAGTTTACATCCCCTGATATTCACAGATATACACATACACATATTTCCTAACTATAGACATTCCCTGATAAACTGACATATTTTGTTTTGGTACATGACCCAGCAAGACAATACTTACACCATTCAGTGGAGCATAGTGGTGCACTTAATGTTCAGTAAATCATTACATCCCTATTCATGTACAATATACATATTTAAATATACAGATATGCATGACAATGTCAGGTGTGATACATACCTGTTGGTAAACAGACATCATGCATGCGATGGCCAGGTTCTCCCAACAGTGTGGACACTGTCAAATCCTTTTTGTGGTTTATCAAGGTCTTCTGCATACCCATTGACAATCACCCTTTGGTTGCCAAGTCCAACCTGTACAAAACGGAATTTGAAATGTGTACAATTGTTCTAAGAAAGACAAAAAGGCCCAACCATTTGATGTTTCAGAATATATGTCTAGTCATGGAAAATGCATGGAAAAAAACAATGCTTCAGACTATTGAAAGCAGTTGTCTGCCACAAAAATACATATATCCAAGATGCTTTTTTCAACAACTACATTTTATTGACTGGATTCACAAAAATATGTAGCTAAAAAAATATCCAGTCTCGATACAAAATCTTGGATGTCTTCTTCAGTGAGCCCGTGATTGTGATACTAAAAGCTTTAAGGCATAAAAAAACCAAGAAGACAAAGTCATCAATATCCCCCGCAACGGCAAAATACTCTTTATGAATATGTCTACTAGTTATGATTATGTCTAATGTTTTGGAGTGTATACAGCAAAGTGGAAGGAGAGTATTAAAAGGTTTTTAAGATCTGCTCCAGAGAGGAGCACTACCACCAAATTCAGTTGAAGCCTAACTTGTTGCCATGGAAATGCAAGAAGATGACATCCTCATAGTCACAGCCAAAGTCATGTTTCCAAGGAAACCACAAAAAATAAAATTCAGATCCGGGTCTAAACCCCCAAAGGCACATCTAGGGATCATGCTCGATATGTGTGCCAAGTTTGATGAAGCTACCATGTATAATTTAGGAGATCTGCTCCAGACAAGATGACATCTCATAGTCACAGCCTAAGTCATGTTTCCATGGAAAAAGCAACAAGAAGACAAAGTTATCAATATCCCCGCAATGGCAAAATACTCTTCATGATTATGTCTACGAGTTATGATTATGTCAAATATTTAGGTGTGTATATAGAAAAGTGGAAGGAGAGCATTGAAAGGTTTTTAAAGTTCTGCTCCAGAAAGGAGCACTATCACCAATTTCAGTCTAAGTCAAACTTGTTGCCATGGAAATGCTAAAAATATTTTTTTCAGAATTCGAAAACTACCAAAAGGCACCAGTACACCGCCATACCAATCTATGTGCCAAGTTTGGTGAAGAAATAGTGAACGGTTTTAGAGTTCTGCTCCGGAAAAGAGCACAACCACCAATTTCAGTCAGAGTCAAACTTGTTGCCATGGAAATGCCAAAAATATTTTATTCAGAATTCCAAAACTACAAGAAGGCACCAGTACACCACCAGACCAATCTATGTGCCAAGTCTGGTGAAGAAATAGAGAACGGTTTTAGAGTTCTGCTCCGGAAAAGAGCACAACCACCAATTTCAGTCTAAGTCAAACTTGTTGCCATGAAAATGCCAAAAAATATTTTATTCAGAATTCCAAAACTGCCAAAAGGCACCAGTACACCACCAGATCAAAGTATGTGCCAAGTTTGGTGAAGAAATATTGAACTCTTTTAGAGTTCTGCTCCGGAAAAGACAAATGTGCACGGACGGATGCACGGACGCACGGACAGAGTCCATTTAAGTACCCCCCCGCAAAATGCGTTGAGGGGGATAATTATACATTAATAAATGTGTTATTAGTTTGTACTTTAAAACAAGAGTCATCAGAAGATGACAAATCCCCCCGGCCCCCATAAATTTGAAACAACAAATCAACTGAAAGTTACTTAAAGTCCAACTTGATTTCTTTGGACTAGGTCCAAATTGTTACCATGTAAATCAGGAAAAATAAAAATGCCAAAAATCTGCAAATATCAAAAGGCCCCCACATATTTGAAAGAACAAATGATCTAACAGTTAGTTTAAAAAAAAGTCAAGCTGGACTTTAAGTAACTGTCAGATCATTTAAACTAAGTCCAAATCATTTCAATGGAAATCATGAGAAATATAAAAGCCAAAAATCTGTAAATAGCAAAAGGCACCATTTCAACATTTGCCTAATATATCTGCCAATTTCTGCTGAAAGATACTAAACGCTTTTCGAGTTGTGCCCACCCCTCCATTTTGGGACTAAGTCCGAATCATTTTCCATGTAAACCAAGAAAATAATAAATCACAAAAACCTGCAAATAGCAAAAGGCACCACTTTGGGATCTGCCTCACGTATCTGCCAAGTTTTGCTGAAAGATATTAAGAAGTTTTCCAGTTCTGCTCCGGAAATGAAACCCACCTCTCCCTTTTGGGACTAAGTCTGAATCGTTTCCATGAAAACAAAAAAAAAATAAAAATGCCAAAAATCTGTAAATAGCAAAAGGCACCACTTCAAGAGCTGTCTCATATATCTGCCAAGTTTTGCTGAAAGATATTAAGAAGTTTTCCAGTTGTGCTCCGGAAGCGAAACCCACCCCTCCATTTTGAGACTAAGTCCGAATTATTTCCATGGAAACCGAGAAAATAATAAATCACAAAAATCTGCAAATAGCAAAAGGCACCACTTTGGGATCTGCCTCACATATCTGCCAAGTTTTGTTGAAAAATATTGAACGGTTCTTGAGTGATGCTAAGGAAATGAAGCCCGCCCCTCCCTTTTGGGACTAAGTCCGAACCTTATCCATGGAAACCGGGAAAAATAAAAATGCCAAAACATCTGCAAATAGCAAAAGGAACCACTTAAGGATCTGTTTGATATATCTACCAAGTTGTGTTGAAAAATATTGAACAGTTTTTTAGTTATGCTCTGGAAACGAAGCCCACCCCACTTTAAGACTAAGTCCAAAACGTTTCCATGGAAACCGAGAAACATAAAAATGACAAAAATCTGTAAATACCAAAAGGAACCACCTTAGGTTCTGTTTGATATTTCTACCAATATTTGTTGAAAAATATTGAAAGGTTTTGGAGTTATGCTCTGGAAACAAAATAATTACGGACGGACGGATGGACGGACAGACGGACAAGACGTCGACTATATAAAAAAATAATTAAAAAAATGTTTAAAAAAATCCTACCTACCTACCCAAAATTTTAAAGAGGTGTGATGGAAACCACAAATTTTTTTTGATTTGGCCTAACATAACCCCTCCACTAAAATTTAGGGGAGTTCACTTCTTTGAAAAGAGTCTTCCTTCGGATACATGTATGCATTTTCTGCTACTGAAAAATGTCCTGTGACAGTTGTAACAATGCTGTAATAAGAAATATTGTACAAATAAAACTATTAAAAAATAATAAAATTCTGTTATACGGCTCCCCCATCAAGTAGGATTACCTCCCTTATCATGCATGCGCAGGTAGCCAGGTGTAACCCTGCCACAAAACATCATTTATTCTGCTGACGAGAAACATCAGAGAACAGAATTGTGGGAGGAAGACTTCCTTCAAGGAATGTAAAACACATACGTGTTTCTGCCCCAGAAGAGCACCATCGATAGTGGTGTGAAACCTGGACATAGCTGTGGAGTTTCTGCAAATGGTCGAGGCTGCAAAACCCTTTTCCAAACAGACTGAAGGAACATCAATTCCTTAGGGTCCCTGAAGGAGGTAGCCACCTACGCGGGACGTTGACAGCCACAGCCGGCACATGCCCATAAATGCGCACATAACCCGAGACCCACAATGAGTCTTGCATTCAGGTGTGCCTGAAACGTCACTGGGACCCCCCTCAGATTTCAAGGCATACCTCTGTACTACTGCCTGACAGCAGGGGGTCGACAACGTCCCAGACCAGCGATGGAATGATTGCTGAGCTGAATCTGAGAGGACCTGACAACAGACAGAGCAGCCAAAGACTGCGTCGAAGGCTCTGATAGATGCTATCAGAGAAGAAGTACAACTGAGGCAAGGATTTGTATTATTGACATATCAAATGAGGGCGAAGCACTAGACACTGTGGCACTTTTTAGCCTTCTTGGCTTTCAAAGGGGTGCCTCCACCCTGGAAATCACCCCCGCCTCCCAAAGTACCCTTAAGAACATGAAGTCGGCCACACGCCTCCTGCAAACACTTTTAACATGCATAAAACATTGAAAAAGACCTGCAACAGAATTTAAAGTCAACAGTGGCAAAGTCAACTGTAAGCCCCAAGTGGAAACAAGCGTAAATTACAACTTCGAAGTCACAGTTTTTAAGAAATTAATAACTGCTACTTCTTAAGGACGTTGAAACGTAATAAAGGACAATGTACATGCAGTATTCTAAGTCTGACAGTAGAAGGAATTATGTTTTTGGGCATGGATACACCTAGCTACCTGCGCATGCACGTTAAGGGAAGTAATCCTACATGGTGGGGGACCATATAAAAGATAAATAAAGATTAATTTCATTTTTACAATACTTTTATTAAAACATTGTTACAACTGTCGAAAAAGAAACAGGATTTCCACCCTAAGTAGTGAAAATATCCCAGTTATATAAATCAAAAAGCAAACAAATACTGAGTGCCCTAAATATATTCTTAAGAGTATTATCATTTTGTGTGAGATGAAGAAAAGTTTGGGTAATAGGATGTTAGTGGTGCCTCCTACCTCGGCCAACAACATGAAGAGAGTCTTGCTGTCGCTGCTGCAGTATCCCGCACTCTTTTCAAATGTGTCAGAGAAGTAGATACCCTGCAAGAACGGCAATATTATTGTCAAAGCTCCAGTTCTGGGTAATAACATAGGTCCCCAACAGCCTATGGTAGTCATCCACGGCAACTTCATGGATTTAGTGGTCAACAAAATTGACTTGGACGATTGTATGTCATATCTTAATAGCATCCTTGCTGCTCATATTGTCAATCACTGGATTGTCTGGTCAGGATTATTTTCAGCCAGCTGAAATATTGATGGCAGCGACATTAAACAACATTTACATAATTATCATCTGATTTATGTTCAGAATCAATTCAACATTCAGATTGTTATGTATTTTGGCTCAAAGTTAATTCTACAGATTTATTGATAACCAACGTTTGGTTCAACTTAATCGTTCTTTACAATCTATTTTGATAGGCACCCCTAGCAATGAGGCATTTTCCTATAAGCCAAAAACTGAACAGCAAAATTCATCAATTATTCGTTCAAAACATACATTCAAGACAACTGGACTTAGTCTGATCCTGTCACATTATTATGGAATACTATCCCTTGTGACAGTTCCCCAACACTAACCTTGCCATACAGATGACCTGTAGTTGGTGCATCTGGAGGGGCAATCACCAGACCCCTGTGGAGGATACTGAGGAGGTTGGCGACGCCAGTGCCATGCCAGAGGAGGCGATGATTGTCCAAGTTCTTCTTGTCCATCCGTTCCTGTTCCCCTGGAACGGACACTCTGTAGATGGCTTCCACCTCTGCATAGTCCACTGCAATAGTGAATCTATATGATGAAGCTGAGGATTTGGATAATAACCTCTGAGCTAAGAACAACTAAGTATCCAAGATATTTTTATGGATTAAACTTCTTTTTCTTTTTTTCATTTCCCTCACAATGTTTCGGGACCATTCCAGGTCCCTTCATCAGGTGAACGAAACGTCGTGAGGGAAATAAAAAAAGAAGTTTTTCTAAATGCGGCCACTGAAGGACAACAACAAAGTAATATTTCCTTTTGTGGAAAATACCTAACATTAAAATATTTGGTGTTCAAAGTGAAAATGAACAGATTGTTTGATGGCGCTCAGTAAATGATGGGTAAAACTAGTGTGTCTCATCAGGTACTAGGCCTCCAACTACTTTAAAGGTCACATGCAACCAAAAAATCAAACATAATTAAAACACAATTATCACTTATTCATGACATATAATATACATTGCTGGTTATGAAAAAACATATAAACAAAATTATAAGCGTACAATCGCAAATCAAAAGTGCAAAATTGTGTACTTCGGTTTACTTCCCAAGAAACGAAGCAGCCGGGATACCGAACCCAGTCAGAGCGGGTGGGTGTGCACTCAAGTGTAACGGCTGGTTCATTTGCAGATGCCCTCAAGGCTAATTGTGTGTGTATATATAGAGATGTTGGGTTTTGTAAATACATGCTCATCTTTTGTGTATAACATTTTGCAATCAACAGACATCATAACATGTCATGTGTTCAAGTATCACACCTGCCTGTCTGTGTAATTACATAACGTGACAGAGACCGAACTCGGGCCATAAATCAATGAGTTTTGTTTATGGTGTATAGCCTGATTGGTGTTAAGTTCAAATTGCATGTGGTCAGTGATAGCAGCTGTGTATTGAATATTGTCATTAGCAGACAGGCAGGCAGACACACAGGTGTCAATAAAACAAGACATTGAGTTTTGTCTGTGACAACGACATATCTATATCACAGTTAGAAATTCTGTCAACGCTAAATAATGACATTGCTTTTAAGTATCGAACTGAGAAAGTGTCCCGGTAAGAAGAACGGTGGTGAAATAGACAAATGAAATTATATAAACAGTTAATTCACTGTCATGACATATAAAAGCTCGCGCTGTGAGATATCAACAAAACATTAGAAAAATAGCTCACACCAAAGCCTTCACCAAGTATTCACCCGAGAACCTGCTTCCAAGCTGCGCGAACCTATTTACTTGCGCACGTGCTATGAGCGCAGCCCAGCTGTTGAAACCCGTTTACCCCAGAAAAGTCTGGGGAAAATTAGTGAAACGTTTGAACTCTGATTTCGCGTGTTTTTTTTCATCGTTATTTTTCAACTTTATAAGTTGAATTTGCATTTTTGACGATTTGTTTCGGTAAGTCCATACCGAAAGGTATCAGAATCTGCAAAGTTGTGTTTTACGTTGCATGTGACCTTTAACAACAAAGTGACCTTGGCATGTACACAACTGTCACAAATCTTAGAGTGATGCTTGGTAAGCTGTCGATGCAGCAAATATTATGTACAGAGAACAGATATGTTGCAAAGGTGACAGTAACAGCACTTACCTGAGTTGTTGATGTAGCGGAGGATGTACTGCGACTCCACAACATCTTCAGACAACAGTTGTAATTTACATCCCACGGACTGATACACATAGTCCAGAGGGTTCACTTCTAAAATCAACAGAGTACCATTTGCAATGCATATATTGAATATATATAAACTTAAATGGTTATGAATTGATATTAGTCATAAAATTTAGTTTTAATTTTAAAACTGTAACATATCTTGCACATACACCAGAAATCTTAGTTTGATTTTCTCCTCAAAAAGTAACTTTTCATATTTCCACTCAACAGTCTCTCTTAAGCCAAGTATGACATTAACACAAAATACGACTGATGGCTTGGAGAACAGTGTTCTGATCCACAGAGTGTTCGTGACAAGATGAGTTATCATAACTATACTTTAACATGGGCTTTAAATGACGCAGAGCTCCGAACACTTTGTGAATATTGCCCCAGTACAGATATATTATACATGTAACGACCCTACCTTTCTCTCTGTACATGGCACCCAGGAGCATCTTGCTGGCTACTTCATAGTCCAGGAGGTTGGACACAAGACGGATCTGTTTCTTCAGATCATTGAGTTGGTCGAGTGGCCTAATCTTCTCGTAAGCAAAACCAACCTGCGGTATAACTTGATAGTACTCACTGCTGAGTTTGGCTATCTGCAACGATAATTAGTGTGCGTGGTTGGATTAAATGCCTCCATGAAACATGTCAATATGACGTGTGAGGATAGCCCAAAGTGATGCAACTCTCACACAATTATAAGTTCAGGGAAACCCATGAGCATGCGTATAAACATTTTGCACAAATTTGGGACAAGACTTTCTAAGTAGAGTCTAATAATGTTTAGAGATGGGTTCCGTCTGGGTTTCTCAGAGCTTTTGATTGCCAGCACATAAAGTTAGCATCTATCATACCTCAAAACTGGAAGCCCAACAACTGGTACTCCAGACCACATAGTTTTTTTAACCCCTGATAGAATACTTTGATGACAATCGGCTATGAACATACAATGCTTTTTAGAAAGTGGTGAAATTTAACACATGTAGTGTTTGGGAATATACTTATCAGAGGCATACACAAAGTGCATCTTCTTTTCTATTTATTTGGAAAGTGCTGCTAAGCCAAGAAACACAACATTGTGGGGATAATTATGACAACTTGTGTCATGTATGACAATCACAAGACACAACTGATGTACAGCTGAAACATTTGTATTCATTCTCATCTGTTCATGGTAGCATGGAAACAAAGTTAAAACATATTGGATCATTACTTCTTCACAGTTAGCCTGATATCTCTCCTTCTTCTGCTCAGTTTGTTCTTCTCTTCCTGACCCTGTTCGATATCCAGCCACTTCCTCCACCAACACACTGAAACAGAAGAGCATAAGCTTCACAACACCTGCAGTTAGACCAGGGCAGCTACAGCTTCAATGAATTATTAAACACCCTGTCATTCATAAACTCAATTAAGTTTCTTATGACAGGACAAGCTTTAAATACATGTACACTTCCAACCTCCAGCCCCACACCCACCTCCATCCCCACCCCTAAAAACCCAACCAAGGCTGATTATTGCCCCCAAGGCTGCTTATTGCTCCAGGGATATTGCCCCCATGTCAAATCCCCCTCTGTCATTCTCCACCCTACACAAAGGAATCACAAAAAAGATAAATTTAACTAAACCTGCAGAGGTTTCCAATTCTTTGAAGAGAGTCGTCCTTGGGTAACGTAGATGCATTTTCTGCGGCTGAAATTGTCCTGTGACAGTTGTATCAATGTTTTAATAAAGATATTGTACAATAAATAAAAATCTTTTTATCTATTATACGGCCCCCACCACGTGGAGTTACCTCCCTGCTACGCATGCGCAGCCAACCAGGTAAGCACCTAGGCACGTATCATCATTCCTTCTGCTGAATAAATCAGTGAACAGAATTGGACGACTCTCTTCAAAGAATTGGAAACCTCTGCAGGTTTAGTTAATTCTTTTTCAGAGAGATCATCCTTGGGGTACATATATGCATTAACTCAGACTCCCAAAGACCGGAGGCTAGAGAGGAGGGAATTCTGTCAAAGTACACATGAATAGCGAACGTTAGGAAGAATGTAACAGACCACAACACTCACCTGTCACATGTCCCGAAGCATCCGCGAGAGGCATTATGGGAGGGTAACCGACAGGGAGGATAAGTACTTAGATCCAAACCTCATAGGTTAAGCATAGCAATTCGCACACAGTGCGAAAATAAAAAAACCTGCCCACATCATGATCTACTAGAGAGCACTGTAAGGGGGAAAACCAACTCACAACCGACCATAATCTCATGAGAGAAATCGAAAGTGGTTAGATATGTACACAGCGGATATATCAATTATGCACAATTGAAAGCAGCGTCAACTGTCCAGATAACCAAGACTAACTCGGTCAGGGTGGCAGGACACTGTCCACTGGAGATAACAGAACGGCCAAAACGCGCACGATCACGTGAATGTGTATCGAGCTGATAGTGCCTGATAAAAGTGCTAGGCTTGCTCCAAATAGCGGCAGGGCATATCTCTTCAATGGGCAGCGCCGATGCAAAAGCCTTTGACGTGGCCACTGCCCTGACCAAGTGAGCCTTCAACCCCTCACGGGGAGGCTTGCCCTTAGCCTGATAAGCAAAACAAATGACCGATACAAGCCAGCGTGATAGGGTCTGTTTGCTAGCCGGCATGCCAGCCTTCCCGCCACCGTAACAGCAGAACAGATGGGTACCCGTATGGATCCCTTGTGTTCGTTTGATATAGACCTTGAGAGTCTTACGGACATCCAACGGGTGAGTGCTCGTTGCAGAGGTCCCCGATGTGGAAGGCTGGGTAAGAGTAGGAAGTTCAATAGGAGCTGTCGGACGGTAAGTATTGGGGAGGCGAATACTGACACGATCTGGATGGAACACAGTCAGCGCTGGGTCTGCCGACATAGCATGTAAGTCGGCGACCCTTCGCCCAGATGTTACCGCCACCAGAAATATGGTCTTCCATGTTAACAACTGAATGGAAATAGCCGATAGACGTGAGAACGTAGGACCGGACAGCCAATCTAGCACGATTGACAAATCCCAAGGTGGGCTGGTTCGCCTGACAGCAGGTCGAACCCGATCCGCGCCAGCTAAAAAGCGCTGCATAAGAGGGTGCTGCCCCAGAAGAGGTGACAGGGGTGTGGAAATACGGGTGGAGTAGCCACAAATGGTCGAAGCTGCCAAGCCTTCTTCCAAACGAGCTTGCAAAAATTCCAATACTCGGACTAAATCCGCAGAAAGGGATCTGCAATCCCCCTATCTGAACACCAGCGCTCATAGCGGGACCACCTATCCTCATATTGAACGTTTGTCGAATCCCGCCTCGAAGCCAGAATTGTTTCTGCAACTGCTGCAGGAATTCCGCGTGCTTCAAGGCTAGACCCTGACAGAGGCCAAGCCACCCACTGAATCCTTGGATTGGGGTATGGCGCAACGTTCTGAGTGAGAATGTCCAGTTGCAAAGGTAATAGAACAGGAGGCTGAGCCAAAAACCTGAGAATTACCGGAAACCAGCTCTGTGACGGCCATAGCGGTGCCAGTAGCACAAGTAGCCGAGGTGGCTGGGTGGACAGCTGGGAGAGGACCCGGGGAATGAGTGGTAGAGGCAAGATCGCCTACAGCACCTTGCCCGTCCAAGCCAGCAGGAAGGCATCGGAAGCCAACGCCCTCTGGTCCGGTAATCGAGAGCAGAACATGAGTATCTGATCCGTACAACTGGGAGAAAATTCCGAATATCTGCCGGTCGAGCATCCATTCGTGTAGGGCCAGGATCCGGCGAGAGAGAGCATCTGCTGGCATGTCCTCCAGGCCCAGGAGATAAACAGGAAGCACCTGACAGTCGCACTGGTCGCACCAGAATAGAAATTCCCACGTCTCCCAAAGGAGCGTTAGGGACACCGTGCCGCCTTGCTTCAGGATGTATGTCATGGCCGTACAGTTGTCCAGCTGAAGACGAACCACCTGGCCCTGAACATGCTCCCGGAGGCGCTCGAAAACCAACCGCACAGCTCTCAGTTCTAAGACGTTGATGTGAAGGCGAGCTTCGGCTTCGGACCAGAGTCCGGACACCGACAGACTGCCCAGAACACCCCCCCCAGCCTGTGAGGGACGCATCGGTTTGAACTGTAAGAGCTGGCGTCAGGATTTCCAAAGGGATCACCTTGGAGAGATTCCCGACATTGGTCCACCACTGAAGGTGAGGAGACAACCACCCGGGGACTGTGAGACACTGCTCTAGATCCTCCGAGTGACGCCTCACAGACTCACCAAAGTTTGCTGTATAGGGCGCATCCTCAACCCCGCCCGCCACACGACAAAGATAGTTCCCGCCATATGACCCAGTAGACGGAGCCAAGTCCGCGCTGGTGCCTGGGGCTGGGAGATGAATGAAGACACCATCTCCCATACTTGTGTCTTGTGAACCTCGCCTCGAGAAAAACCAAGTCCTGGGTGGGTACCAGGTCGGATTTTTTTAGGTTAATGATCCACCCCAGTCGAACTAAAATGTCTATCACCATGTGCGTAGAATCTAGGCTCTCTGGCTGAGTTAGAGTGCTGAGCAACCGGTCGTCTAGGTAAGGGTAACAACGCCTTCCTTGTGACCTTGCGAGGGTAGCCAGCACTAACATGAGCTTGGTGAACACCCTGGGGGCAGTGGATATGCCGAAGGGGAGCACCGTGAATTGGTAATACATCCCGTCGTATGAGAAGCGGAGGTACTGCTTGAACGATGGAGGAATTGGCACATGTAGATACGCATCCTTTAGGTCAATCGACGTAAGCCAATCGCCAGGCTGAACAGAGGAGATCACCGAGCGAAGTGTCTCCATCTTGAAGGATGGAACCTCTAGCATGGGATTCAACCCCTTGAGGTTGAGACTGGGACGGAGCGCGCCGTCCTTCGGAACGAGGAAGTACGTTGAATAAAACCCCGCCTGTTCCTCGCCCAGTGGTATGCGCTCTATTGCGGACTTGTCCAGCAAAGCCTGAACTTCATCTCGCAATATACCCGCTTTGACCGGACATGATGGCACCGGAGTGCGACATATGCCGGTCAACTCTGGCGGGCCTCGCTTCCACAGTGGTAGATGGCCGACACTGACGATGGATAGCACCCAAGCGTGGCTGGTAGCCTTCTCCCACTCCGGCAGGAATAAAGAGAGGCTGCTGGGAGCCTGCCGAAGAGGACTGCTCCTTGCCCTTACCTTTGACGAGACGGCTCCTCCTCCTACCCCTGCCCAGCGGCTGAAGCCAGACGGCAGACTCGGGCATAGGCTGGGCCCCGGAGGAACCCACTACGGGAGCGCGGGAGCGAAAAACCCACGGTTGCTCTAACAAGGCCCTAAAGTCCTTGAAGGAGGTAGCTGCTGCAGCAGCCTCCCGAATGACCTACTGTGCCCCCGGAAATAACGTCGCTCCCAGCCGAAATGGAAGAGCCAGCAAGGTCTGCTATGTTGCTGCCGAATAACGGGATGTAGACGGCCACAGCTTACGCATCCCCACGACTGCACACATCACCGTAGACGCGACAGATCGCAAAGAGTCTCGCGTCAGGTGGGCCTGTACTTCGGATAATTGGCGAAGCAGAACAACATTTGGGGAAACGTCCCCAGTGCTCCCTTCCATCTCCAGAGCTGACCTTTGGATAGAGGAAAGGTAGGCCTCGTGGACCACCACCCGCACCTGCTGCATGGCATTCTCGTAAGTCCGGTATGCCTGCTGCAGGGGGGCGCCCGCTTGGTCAAACGGTGGAATTAACCGCCCTTGCTTAGCAGCCGGAGCTGCACCTGAGGAAGCCGAGCCTCCCCCGAGGGCGACCAAAGTGAACACGCACTCGTCAACCACCGGCACAAAGAACAGAGAATCATCCCCCAGCTGGTACCTCTTAACGAGTTCTGGTAAATCGAACCGGAGGCGTGACCCAACCAGGAGGGGATCCATCACGTCCTGCACCAGGGAGGGTTGCCTAGGGGCAAACGCCTCGCCCGGCAGGCGGAACTCAGTTGAGTCCGAGCGACATGTCAGCACCGCGGCTTAGGGTATATACTCGGCAATATGTTGCCTAACCTCCAGGAGAGCCGACGAGAAACGGAAAGTACCCTCAGACTCCTCGACCTCCCCAACATGCATAGACTCGGCACCCGAGCCCGAGTCAGAATTCGGGTCTCCTCGTGAAGAGGAGCCGAAGCCCGACCCGGTCGGAGGCCGAGCCACAGACGCCGCAGGAAGGGGAGAGCTGAAAGAACTCCCCGCTCCGGCAACCGACACAACACTCGAACCCCTCTCCCGAGACACGGGAGGAAGACCGGGCAGAACCGGCTCCTCTGCTCTAATGGGGCGGGGTGGCACAGGGACCGGAACCCCAGGAATCGTCAACGGATCCTGCGCCAGCACCGAGAGGGGGACTGGGAGCGAGCCCTCCCCCTCCGGGGTAGCCGAGGCTTCTGGACCCGAAGCCAAAGGCAAAGGATCAACAGTCGCCTCCAGGCTAAGGGATCGAGCCGGGCTCAGCAATCCCACCCCGAGACTCTCGGTCCCCTGTTCAGAGTGGGCGAGGAACTCCTGGCGGAGACCTCCACGGACTCATGAACAAGGGACTTCACGGAGTCCATGCGCTGCTGAAACAATTGAGTGATTTCAGGGTTATGCCCCGCTTTCTCTAAACAGCACAAGCATTTCTCATGCCTATCACTTTTCGGGATATTCTGCCCGCAGACAGTACATCCAGTAAACGCCTGAAAGCAAACACACAAGCATGTAGCTAACGGCGGAACACAGCAGCATAAATATACACGTACAAAACATTGAAAATTACGTGAATGCGACCATGCGACATGATATACTTGGTTAATAACGCAATATTTCAACCACGTGGCACGCTAAACTTCTGCGCATGCGTAGCAGGGAGGTAACTCCACGTGGTGGGGGCCGTATAATAGATAAAAACGATTTTTATTTATTGTACAATATTTTTATTAAAACATTGATACAACTGTCACATGACATTTTCAGCCGCAGAAAATGCATATATGCACCCCAAGGACGATCTCTATGAAAAAGAATTAAAGACGTTGGATAGAACAGTTCATGAGATATCACGTTAACAAGAATCAGGACATACGAACAGACGCTGGTGAATACATAGTCCCCTGTTCCACCTTGCGGCGGGGGACAATAATATTGATTGCCTTACAAACTTACCTTATCTTCTGGAGCAGTGACCTAGCCTTGAGAAGCCTGTCTCTCTGCATACATCCAAACGGCATGAGGCTGGTATCCATTGGTTCCTTGCTTAGAGCTGCCTTCAGGGACTTGACATTGGTCTGAGAGTAATAGAAGCATTGGTCAGATCTTGGCAACATTCATGCCTCACACAATAACCATGTGCCATTGATCAAGGGTAATGTGTAATGGGATAAATGGTGTACTTAGATAGAGTGCACATGTAGATGTGAATGTACTTTTTGTGAGTGTGTTCATGCACGCACACACAGGGCTATTTGGACTAGTCTGAACTAAAGTTATACAAATACAGTTGATATCCAGATACTGGTAAATCATTTTTAAAGCTATTTGCAAATACTATTTATTCTACTTATGAAACAGCTGGGTGATTTTCCTGAACACCTCAAAGGTAAAGCATAAATTTTGCAAGGTGCAAAAAGTGAATCAAACGCTATAAAATGCAAACTGACCCCTTTATCATTTATTTGCATAGTTACATTAAATAATTATGATTTTAGAAATGCTTCAACTAACAGACTAGCAGATATCATTAATCGGCACAAGATGGATACCCATAAGTTACAATTATGATTTTAGATATGATTCAACTAAGAGACCAGCAAATATCATTAATCGGCACAAGATGGATCCCTACATGTTACAATTATGATTTTAGAAATGCTTCAACAAACAGACTAGCAGATATCGTTAATTGGCTCAAGATGAAACCCCATATGTAACAATTATAGTTTTAGAAATGCTTCAACTAACAGACTAGCAAACATCATTAATTGGCACAAGATGGATCCCCATATGTTTCACATTTAATCAGATTTCAAATTTAACAAAAAAATTAAAATAAATTTCAAACTAAATACCACATTGCCTTCTTTGTGTATGTTAAAATGATGTGTCTTATGGCATATCAGCAAATTAAAAGGGAAATAAAACTGGATGTATGACATTATTTTTCATCCCTAAAAAACATTTAAAACAACAATGGTATATCTTGACAAGTGGTGTGCTGTGTACACCGACAAGTGATCAGTCTAGAAAACCTCATAGTGGATGTCATCCTATTTAAGATTAATTATGTTCCATTCATTTTTTCATTTCACAGTTTAAGGTATCATTGGGTATATTTTCAATCCAAAATGTAAAAGAGAATCCCACTAAATCCAACAACCTTAATATAATAGCTCACAGGATATTCATAAGGACATTAACTTACAGAACGTAATCATGTGAGAAATTCATGAAATAAATCGTTTAAGGTTTCTTACCAGCTCCTCCACAAGATTGTTTATATGGTATGGCAGCTTGGATTTCATGGTTGACTTGTTCTTGAATTCAATGTCAGTCTGAGTGTGGCCTTGACGTCTCTCCTTGTTGTGAACTATACGATATTTCCTCGGTTTGTTTTCAAAAACTACATTGTAACAGAGAATTAGTTGTTAGTCTCTTTCTCTCAGCTATATCAACAATACTATGACACATTGTCAGTGGATAAAGCGTTTGCTCGTCATGTCAAAGACTCGGGTTCGATTCCCCACATGGGTACAATGCGTGAAACCCATTTCTGGTGGCACCGCCATGATATTGCATGAATATTGCTGAAAGCGACATCAAACTAAACTCACTCACTTATTCACATTGTCAGCTATAAGGAAAGCTCAAGTGACACATGCATGTCTTAGAATTTCATAACTTTGGTAAAATGATGAAGCGGATGGAGAGATCAGTTCTGGACCACTTCATCCTGAATTCAGTACAGGGTAGTCCAGAACCCCCATTCCATATACTAGTCTTTGTGCAAGATGAAGACAGGATTAGGATCTTTTTCATGGGGATTCACAATACAATCAGCACATTGAGACAGCTAAGGGATGCAACTCCATTCAGAAAAGGGCAGTAGGCCTACCCAGCCCCAATGAATGTGATATACTTTGTCAGTTGTTACTTTCCCTCCATCTTCAACATCAGCTCACTATTCTGAACAGTATTTCAATCATATCAGAGGATTTAAGTTTTCATTAAAAGCCTGAAATGTTGCATATCAGATATATTTACCATACAATTAAAACTGCAAACAAAAGTGTTTGTGGGGCTAACCAAAGATTCCATCAAACAGATGGCAACTCTGCAATGACAATTGTGATGCCTTCCTCAAGAATATGTCCTTTTTACAGCTGTGCAAATAATAAACTAGCCGTTAAGTGTCATGATCTTTTTAAAAAACAAATATCTTTCAAAATTAGTTCAGGTAGCATGGATATGCATAAGACATTCTGAAGTAAAAAGCAGCAAATCATTACTTTTTAACATCTGTCCACTTGTTCCCAGTCTTGGCCCGGAATATTTTACAGAACTCTTTGACAGCCTCTTCCTTCACTTGGTATGGGGTGTGCTGGTACTGTCCGCTGTCCCCGATACGACCCCATCGTGTAAACAGGATAAACAGGTCCTTGCCTGGTTGATGAACAAGCTGAAAAAAATAATGATAAACTGGCTGAGGTTCAGATGACAAGACCTCAAGACTTTGTAGTTAAAACTCTACCCCAAGGTTTTATTTAAAAAGTAAAACCTTGAACATGGGAAAGCCACAGTGGATGGCATGGATGATCGGAATCTCAACAAAGGATCAATGCATACAAAGGTCAGCTTTGCTCTATGGAAACTATTGTGTCCATCCTGGTAAATTACCTGAATCTGGTAAAAGTTGTACAGTCCATACACGCCCAAGTTGACGTCAACCTTGGTAAGGAGGACATCATAGAGCAGGTCCTGTTCCTCATCCTTCTCTAATGTCCTGAAAACAAAACAATTGGAAACCATGGTAACCTTTCACTTTCCAAACTTCCTTTCTCCAGAAGTCTTAACTCTGGATTTACATTTTTCTAAATCTTGAGGACCATTTTATGAATATTTATGACCACTTTACTTCTTTACTGACCTCTTTGCTTTTAAATGCTTTACTGGCCTCCTTTCTCTTTCACATCCTCATTCGTTTCAAATGGTTTACAACAATCTCACTGTAGACCTGCTTACTGACACTGCTTACTGGGATATATTTATTTAGAATTTCATTGCTCGACATATTAATACAAAATCATATTCCTCTAGACTTGTTTACTGAACTCTGGGCAAAAACATTGCACACCTGTTTATTCTGTTTCGTTAAAGTGAGCTCAAGTCACAAATTGGATGGGCGACCACGTTTTGCAGCTTGACTCTTTAGAGTGTCTAGGACTTCAGTATTACCCCTCAACAAAACGTTGTGAGTTTGTTCAAAACTGCCTCTGTCCACCCAGCAGAAAATGGGTACCCGGGTGGGATAAGTCATATGATTATTTATCTTCCAGCACCTCAAAGGCAGCTTGGGTTATCCTGGGTAATAATGTCCATTGCGTTGCATACGCATAGAGCATGCCTGTGTGGTGTGTAGTTCTGAGCTAAAAGTGACCTTATCATGATGTGGATGTGAATCCACATTATCTTAGCACAGTTGTCACATGGTCTATGCCCACTCTTGTGACAGCTGTCTTCTTAATCCTGCACACAATCAAACATTTATATATATTACAACATGAGATTTTTAATCAATCCCGTCAGTCAACTCACCCATTGGGGACAGTACAGTTGGAGTCAATCTTGGCCACATACTCCTCCTCAACATCCATGGGCTTCCCAACCTTCTCCACCAATCTCTCAGCATCTTCATGGAAAGACGGTGTAGGACTGGACCATTTCATGCTGGCTGTCACAGTGGTGGGCTGATATTTGGGCTGTTTCTGCGGACACATAATTATAATCATGTCATAATCAACCACTGACAAGAAATTGTAAATCATAGGACACGAAACAATACATTAGTAGGGTGAGAAGGTAATAGGTAAAAAGGGTGAGACGGTAGTACAGTTGTAAGGTGAGAAGGAGACGAAGGTAGGAAGGTGAGACAGTAGTTCAGTTGTAAGGTGAGAATGTAACAGAGTAGGAGGGTGAGACAGTAGTACAGTTGTAAGGTGAGAAGGTAATAGATTAGGAGGGTGAGACAGTAGTACAGTTGTAAGGTGAGAAGATCATAGAGTAGGAGGGTGAGACAGTAGTACAGTTGTAAGGTGAGAAGGTAACAGAGTAGGAGGGTGAGACATTAGTACAGTTGTAAGTGAGAAGGAGATGAAGGTAGGAAGGTGAGACAGTAGTTCAGTTGTAAGGTGAGAAGGTAATAGATTAGGAGGGTGAGACAGTAGTAAAGTTGTAAGGTGAGAAGATCATAGATTCGAAGGGTGAGACAGTAGTTCAGTTGTAAGGTGAGAAGGTAACAGAGTAGGAGGGTGAGACAGTAGTACAGTTGTAAGGTGAGAAGGTAATAGATTAGGAGGGTGAGACAGTAGTAAAGTTGTAAGGTGAGAAGATCATAGATTAGGAGGAGGGTGAGACAGTAGTACAGTTGTAAGGTGAGAAGAGTCATAATAGAGGAGGGTGAGACAGTAGTACAGTTGTAAGGTGAGAAGGTAATAGAGTAGGAGGGTGAGACAGTAGTACAGTTGTAAGGTGAGAAGATCATAGATTCGGAGGGTGAGACAGTAGTACAGTTGTAAGGTGAGAAGATAACAGAATAGGAGGGTGAGACAGTAGTACAGTTGTAAGGTGAGAAGGTAACAGAGTAGGAGGGTGAGACAGTAGTACAGTTGTAAGGTGAGAAGGTAACAGAGTAGGAGGGTGAGACAGTAGTACAGTTGTAAGGTGAGAAGAGGTAACAGAGTAGGAGGGTGAGACAGTAGTACAGTTGTAAGGTGAGAAGATAACAGAGTAGGAGGGTGAGACAGTAGTACAGTTGTAAGGTGAGAAGATCACAGAGTACAGGAGGGTGAGACAGTAGGAGGTACAGTTACAGTTGTAAAGGTGAGAAGGTAACAGAGTAGGAGGGTGAGACAGTAGTACAGTTGTAAGGTGAGAAGATCAAAAGAGTAGGAGAGACAGTGAGTACAGTTAAGGTAAAAGGTGAGTGAGACAGTAGTACAGTTGTAAGGTGAGAAGGTAACAGAGTAGGAGAATTGAGACAGTAGTACAGTTGTAAGGTGAGAAGATAACAAGTGGGAGGTTAGAGACAGTAGTACAGTTGTGAGGTGAGAAAGGTACAAGAGTAGGAGGGTGAGACAGGGTACAGTTGTAGAGAAGGTAACAGGGTGAGACAAGTGAGACAGTGTAGTACAGTTGTAAGGTGAGAAGGTAACAGAGTAGGAGAGGTGAGACAGTAGTACAGTTGTAAGGTGAGAAGATAAAGAAGAGAGTAGGAGGGTGAGACAGTAGTACAGTTGTAAGGTGAGAAGATAAAAGAGTAGGAGAATTGAGACAGTAGTACAGTTAGAAGGTGAGAAGGTAACTCAGAGTAGGAGAATTGAGACAGTAGTGAGACAGTTGTAGAGGTGAGAGAAGACAGTAAAAGGTGAGAAAGGTAGTAAGAGGTGTGAGACAGTAGTACAGTTGAGAAAGGTAACAAGGTGAGACAAAGTACAGTTGAAGGTGAGAAGGTAACAGAGTAGAGGGGTGAGACAGTAGTACAGTTAAAGGTAGGGTGAGAAAGGGGTCAGTACAGGAGTGAGACAGTAGTACAGTTGTAAGGAGAAAGAGATTGGGAGAGACACAGTTGTAAGAAAGAATGAAAGGTAGGAAGGTGAGACAAGTAGTTCCACAGGTGAAAGGTAATAGAGTAGATGGGTGAGACAGTAGTACAGGTTAGATTAGGAGGCAAGTACAGTAAGGTGAGACATCACAGAGAGTCGGAGGGTGAGAACAGTAGTACACAAGGTAGGTAACAGATGAAGGATCCTGGACACACAAGTTGTAAGTGAGAACATGGAGACAAGGAAGGTGAAAGATAATAGAAAAGGAGAATTAAGATGGCCTAGTTGTAAGGTAAAGAAAGGTCGGAATAACAAGGAAGGAGACAGAGGAAGAGTAATAAAGGTAAAGGAAAAAGAATCATAGATCGGAGGAGACATAGGTAGAAGATCTAGGATGAACAATGTAGATTGTAAAATTGAGAAAGGTAACAAGGACTGAGGTGAGAGACAAGGACACAGAAACCAAGAACAAGTGAATACAGACCAAGAGGTGAGAAGAAGGACAATTAGGGAATTAAGAGAGACAGAGAGACACAGTAGGAAGGTGACAAGTACAGTTTAACATGAATTAGGAGGGTGAGACACAGTACAGTTGAGGTAAAGAGAAGATAAGGAGTGTGAAAGAACGAAGAGGCACAGCTTGAGACACAGGTAACAAAGTCAAAGAACAGAGAGAAAGATAACACAGATCCAAGGTGAGAAGATGGCAGTACAATTAGGAGAAGAACAAGACACAGCCAGAGCCAAGGAGACACAGAGGGTGAGACACAGTACAGTTGTAAGAAACAGAAGACAATGGATTCAGACACACAGGAGAGACAGACACAAGGAGAACAGGAGAAGTTAGAGACAAGGAAGGAAGACAAGAAACCGAGAGGTGAACAGTAAATTACAGGTTAAAAGGTGAGAAGACAGAAGAAGGAGGAGAATTGAGACAATTAAAGTACAGAGGTGAAAAGTAAGGAAGGAGGTAAGAGAGTGAAGAAGGTAGTGAAGTTGTAGAAGTGAGAAGATCTGGAAGTACGGAAGACCTGCAGACAGAGGTGGAGACAGCCAAGGTGAAAGACAGAGTAGGAGTGGAGACAGAAGTAAGTTGTAAAGGTGAAGGAAGGAAGGACCAGACGGGTGAGACAGATGAAGGACAGGAGAAAGGTGAGGAAGGAAGGAGGAGGAGAAGGTGGAACGGTAGTACAGTTGGAAAGGTGACAAGAAGGAGGAAGTTTCGTAAAGAAGGAGGGTGAGAAGAGTAAAGTACAGGAGGAGGCAGTGGAGAGAGAAGGTAAAAGAGAGAGGAACAGGACAGTTGTAAAGGTGAGAAGATCATAGGTCGGAGAGACAGAAGTAACAGAGTGATGGGAAGGAAGGAGGAAGATACAAGGACTGGTTGAGAAGGAGAGTTGTAAGTGAAGGTAACAGAGAGTAGGAGTGGAGGAGTGAGAAGAAAAGTAAGGAGGAGACAAGGAAGAGAAGTAGAAAACAGGAGGAGTAGGAGGGTGAGACAGTAGATACAGGTGAAAAAGGTGAGACTGAAAGTGAAGGCTGGTGTAAAAGGAAATTAGGAGGGTGAGAAGGGAGAAGGACAGTTGGTAAGGTGAAGATCATAGGTTGAGGAAGGTACGGAAGAAGGAAAGGACAGTAGAATGATCAAGAGACAGAAGGAGAAAGATCAAAAGAGGTGAGAAGGGACAGTGAGACAGTGGAGAAGGAGGTGAGAAGATGGGTGAGAAGGTAACAGAGTAGGAGGGTGAGACAGGTACAGTAAAAGGTGAAGCATAGGTGAAGTGAATACAGTTGTAAAGGTTAGGAGTGGAGGAGAAGGTAACAGAGTAGGAGGGTGAGACAGTAGTACAGTTGTAAGGTGAGAAGGTAACAGAGTAGGAGGGTGAGACAGTAGTACAGTTGTAAGGTGAGAAGGTAGGGTGAGAGTAGTACAGGAGGGTGAGACAGTAGTACAGGGTGAGAGAGGTTGTAAGGTGAGAAGGTACAGTTGTAAGGTGAGAAGGTAACAGAGTAGGAGGGTGAGACAGTAGTACAGTTGTAAGGTGAGAAGGTAACAGAGTAGGAGGGTGAGACAGTAGTACAGTTGTAAGGTGAGAAGGTAACAGAGTAGGAGGGTGAGACAGTAGTACAGTTGTAAGGTGAGAAGGTAACAGAGTAGGAGGGTGAGACAGTAGTACAGTTGTAAGGTGAGAAGGTAATAGAGTAGGAGGGTGAGACAGTAGTACAGTTGTAAGGTGAGAAGGTAACAGAGTAGGAGGGTGAGACAGTAGTACAGTTGTAAGGTGAGAAGGTAACAGAGTAGGAGGGTGAGACAGTAGTACAGTTGTAAGGTGAGAAGGTAACAGAGTAGGAGGTGAGACAGTGAGACAGTAGTACAGTTGTAAGGTGAGAGGAGGTTGTAACAGAGTAGAGGGTGAGACAGCAGAGTAGGAGTACAGTAACAGAGTGTAAGGTGAGAAGGTAACAGAGTAAGAGGGTGAGACAGTTGTAAGGTGAGAAGGTAACAGAGTAAGAGTAGTACAGTTGTAAGGTGAGAAGGTAAGAGTAGGAGGGTGAGAAGCACAGTTGTAAGGTGAGAGAGGTAACAGAGTAAGAGGGTGAGACAGTAGTACAGTTGTAAGGTGAGAAGGTGAGACAGTAGTACAGTTGTAAGGTGAGAAGGTAACAGAGGAGGGTGAGACAGTAGTACAGTTGTAAGGTGAGAAGGTAACAGAGTAAGAGGGTGAGACAGTAGTACAGTTGTAAGGTGAGAAGGTAACAGAGTAAGAGGGTGAGACAGTAGTACAGTTGTAAGGTTAGAAGGTAATAGATTCGGAGGGTGAGACAGTAGTACAGTTGTAAGGTTAGAAGGTAACAGAGTAAGAGGATGAGACAGTAGTACAGTAGTAAGGTGATCAGAGATAACAGAGATTTTACAAATTAATCAACTTTATCATTTTTCCTATCCTGAACCTCGGTTGGTAAGGCATCATGTTTTTCCTTCTTAACTTCAGAAATTCAAGATTGGGAACTTCACTGAAGATGGGCCAGGGTTAAAAAGAAAATCTTACAAAGATGACATGTGCTCCAATTGAGTGAGTGAGTGAGTGAGTTTAGTATTATGCCGCACTCAGCAATATTGCAGCTATATGGCAGGGGTTTGTAAATAATCGAGTCTGGACCAGACAATCCAGTGATCAACAGCATGAGCATCGATCTACGCATTGGGAACCGATGACCTGTGTCAACCAAGCCAGCGAGCCTGACCACCTGATCCCGTTAGTCACCTCTTACGACAAGCATTGGTTACTGAAGATCAATATTCTAACCCGGACCTTCACGGGTTGCTCCAATTGAATTGTCATTATCATCATTATCATTATTGATATCACTCACCATGTTTTTCTCACTGATATTCTCCAGTTTCTGCAGCATGCGAGCTATCTTGAAGGCACCATTTTTCAGTGCCAGATCCAGAGGTATGTCCCCATCCTTGTTCTTTACATTCAGCTTGGTGCCAGCTTTGGCCAGAATGAACACAATCTCATCATTATCAAAGGTGCCATGGCCGAGGGGGCATACAGCATGGTGAATCACAGTCCAGCCATTCTTGTCCACTGCATTAAGGTTCACCTTGCTCACCTTCTTGAAAGGCTTGTATTCCTTCTCTACAAATTGGGAACATGAGTTCTTTCAATGCAGTGTTTTCAGTTACTGGTAATTACAATATTCTCCATGTTCTTTTACCCATGTCTACTGATTGTCTGGACACTATTGGGTGTCGTGTGTAACAGAAAACATTTATCACTGTAGGCTTATACCAATAATTGACAGTTTTACTGATCTAAAAAAAATTAAAAATTACAGACAGAAGACAAACTTGAATCTGATTTGTTGATACTGTCAATTTGCCAAAGTCTTTATAAACCATCCCCACTTGCTCTGCTTTGACATAAACCTGAATATTCTAACACCACAAAAAACATGACGTCTCACTTATATTAAAGAAGAACTTCTGACTGCTCGCTGAGTTTTACATCTTTGAACCAAGCAGTTTTTCATTCAAAATGAATATACAGAGGTGGTTTGAAAAAATCATAATCTTCAACCCTCAGTAAAGTCTCTATTGAAAAAGTGACAACATACACACCACCAATCTTTAACTAAAAATATTCATTAACTCACTCTTGTTGTCGACCTTTTTCTTTTCTTCTTCCTCTTTTTCAGATTCTTCTGAGTCTTCATCACTATCATCATCATCCTTTGACAGCTGGGACAATTTTGAAGTACTCCGTTTGAGTTTGAAAATCCGACCATGCATTTTCTTTTTAGTTGCCGACTGTTCCTTGAGAGGCTTCGTTGGCTCTTCCTCAACTTTTTTAGGGTCAAACTTGTAGTTCATCAGTGTCTTCACAAGTATTATATTATTCTAGAACAAAATTCCAAGAATGACTTAAATAAACTGAACAGAGTTTTTGAAAGAGTTTTTAAATAAAAACAGAGTTTCATACTCTCCATAGTCTGCACTGTGCTTACTACTTGTGTTAGTTTCAATGACAGACATATTCGATGGTTCACTGTTGACAGTTTAATATCTATTCCAAACAGCCCCAAACATGCATGTTGGTGGTATCTTCCCATTATGACTACTCCCAATATGACTACTCCAATTTTGTCTACTCATAAACATGAACATATAGTGGAGCACCCCTACACTTAAAATATACTGTACATGTATAGTTGATTACTCCCAGTTTGTCTATTCTTTGAAATATACCCATTAGGGAGAATCCCAGGGACTACCCGTATTTAAATCATCAGAAGCTATGTGAATCAGGAATCTTGTGATCATTCATTGCTTGTTTTGATATTTGGAGATAACTCCTCTACTCTGATTAAAACTTTGTATACTTCTAGTACAGGTTACTTGTTTTGAAAATTGGACATATTCGAACCCAAGCTAAGATAATCCCTCTACTCTGATTAAAGGTACAGATAATCATCATACTTTGATTTCTCTAGTCAGCTTTTCAGTTATAAAGAACAGAACAGAAATTTTATTCTAAAAAATTACATATGGTGTCACAGAGAACACAGCATGTTGATGCATATTAAAATATTGAACAAAGTTGGTTTGAAGTTCAAAATTAAATTAACCGGCATTAACAAATAAGGTTCTAAAAATAGTGAATGCTTATACATTATATAGTAATAACCTTTCAATGAGTCAACAGCAGAGTGCCACCATAGCTGATTAAACTGATAGATGAGAATGAATTGCACATTATAGGGATACAGGCTGCAGACTGTTTGGCAAAACAGTATTTGTAAATTCCCTTGAACTCTTCCACAACACTGACCTAACGTAACCGGACATGTTATTGTCATGAAGACATGAATACCTATTGTTGTGATCATATTCATATGTTTTAGTAGTCGATGTATACATTGTTATGTATTCAGCTGAATAAATATTGTATGAACCTGGTACAGCTATAATTGTTTATTATACATATATTATTATGGTGGGACAGTCTACCTGATGGAGGGGAGACAGCTAGTAATTAAAAACCGTTTGACAGGAACAGATTGTGTACTGGACAGTTAGTCAAATTGGGAGTACCGGTAGTCATAAAGGGTGTGAACCATATTGGTTCCTCCAAATCACTCCATTTCTGTGTCTAACAATCACTAGGTAGATGACTTAAAGCACGGTGGGGAAGGTGACGAAGACTGGGTTGGCATTAAAGTAGAACAAGTTCAGTATACAACCATGTTGTTGTTATAAAAAAACAACAACTTTCAACAGGTAACTGTCGAAACATGTCTGAGATCAAATTCTTCGCATGACATTTAGAAGTTGGTGTGATGAACTAGGGACATAGTTCTAAGCATATGCATACATTGTAATAAGTGAGTGGTTTTATGCTGCTTTTAGCATTATTCTAGTAATATGATGGTAGGGGACACCAGAAATGGGCTTCACACTTTGTACCTATGAGGGGAATCGAACCAGGCCCTTCGGTGTGATGAGTAAAGATTACATAACAATGTATACTTTAAACGCAAGGCTTCACTGCCAATCCTATTGTAATAAAGAAGTTGTATATCCCTAGCACTATCTCCCTTGCTCATGTCTGCAATTGAAGCTTACACAAGTGGTAAACACCAAGTTAAGCTGAAACACTTTAATTACCTTCAGTGCCAAAGTGCTTATTAACAGCTGATAAACAAACTCACCCCCTTGACAGCATGCATCACTGGAGTGATTCCTTCGCTGTCTGCCATGTTAACATTGACACCTTGATTCAGCAACCATTGTGGGAAGAAGTTATCTAAGCTGTTATGGTTGATGGCGATGATGAGTGGGGTGACCTTTGGTGTGTTGTACTTCTTCCAGTAATCAGGGTCCTTGCCCTCTGACCTGAAGATCACTTCTTGAAGTGGGCGGTCAAGCATGATATCAGCTGTCCCTTTCTTCTTATATAAATCATGAACCAACCATCTACAAGAAATACAGGATGGTTAGTTACTAACACAGAGTATTTGTCAGTTATGTCAATGTGATGCAGGTTCTAGATATTCCCCTCCCAATTATGGGTGAAACCTTTAAAGCATGGGTATAGTGTTAACATTGCTAATCAGGTTGAAACAGGATTACCTGCGACAATATTCGTTAGTTGGTTGTTTAACACCACACTCAAAATATTCCAGCTATGTGGCGATGGTCTGTGAATAATCGAGTCTGGACCAGACAATCCAGTGATCAACATCATGAGTACTGATCTACACAATTGGGACTAGGTGGCTCTTGTGTGTCTAAGGGACTCAACTCTGCACATGAAACTGCAGCACTTTATACATTTTCTCCCAAAGAATACAACAGATAAGGAAAATTTAAAGGCTTGTTTAGCCTCTCTAAGGTAGTCCTTGGAATCAGATAACTTACAACGATTATGATGGTTGTGGATGGTCAGTGGATCAGACAAATTTTGCCAACAATCTGATATTTATTATCTCATTTGAAGGAAAACAACAAAATAATTCAACAGATGTACAACTGGTAGAGAGAAATTTAATCTTGAAATGTTTACTAGTGTAAGTTGTGATAGCATATAAGAATACTTGCAAAAAGTATACAAGAGAGAGCAATTCAATCAGCTCTCAAGATACATTTAACATTAGGAAAATATGCCTTAAGCTATTGGATAGCACTAATTTCTATACCTGTCGGGAATGTACCCAAGGTGTAAAGAGTAATAGAAACACTTCCTTACGTAAAGTCTGAATCAAATATGGAGGACTTCCAAAACGCAACTGCCATGACACTTCTATCAAATGAGTCTGTATATTTGTGGCTGTATACTCCTGGGGTCTCTGCAATGTATTGAAGGTAAATCAGCTCCATCGTGCAATAACATAAAAGGCATGAAACATAGATGAACGACAGTTAAATTACAGGAAATAGACTGTCTTCATCTAACAGACTTAATTAAATGAACAGAATATATTTACTTTCGCCATTTTGGTGTTGCACCGTGTCAACACACAAAATGGTGCCATGTGCTGGTGTTCAATGCAGCCAAGCATCATATAAAAAAGTATTAAGACACGAACATGTTTTCATTATCATCTGTGTCTCTATGCTCTGATGTGCTTCACTCAGGAACACGTTATAGATGAAGTTCATAAATTAGCATTGATTTTAAAGGTTTGCACAAGGAGGTCGCCTTCTACATGGCATTACTTCAACGTATATTTACTCTGTCAGAGAAGGCTTGTACTATGTAAAATGTATTTGCAATGGCCAAAGATAATATACTAGTATGCAACGCACTTGATCAACTACTGTTAATTGTTATTTGTAGAGTATCCATGATACATCTATACATCTCACAATATAAGCTGAGGTTCTGAAAATAATCAAAGCCAACTTTTTGCACTCTGGATCCGATTCCGACAAAGTTGTTCTTGAACTGTATTGATGTGCTTTTACCTGTCATTAGCCAGATCATCAACCTAAGTTTACAAGCAGGTAAAGTGCCAGACTCTTTCAATTCAACCGTGGTCAAGCCATTGTTGAAAAAGTCTAACTTGGACCCAAGTTTGCTGAAGAATTACCAACCTGTGTCCAATGTATCATTCATTTCTAAACTTCTTGAGAAAGCAGTTAAACTCAGACTTCAAGAGCATTTAGTTGCCAATGATCTTCTTTACAAGTACCAATCGGCCTACAGGACGGGACATGGAACAGAAACAACCCTGAATTGTGTTCTTAACAATGAAAACATGATTGTCGACAGTGGTGATGTTTCTCTTCTGGTATTGCTCTATCTTTCCTCGGCTTTTGATCGGTGGATCACAAGAGATTGTTGGCACGCTTACAGTGTGAGTTTGGAGCACAAGGAACTGTTCTCAGCTGGTTCAAGTCCTATCTGACGGACAGAAGACAATGTGTGATGATAAGGGACACCAAATCAAGGAACATCCAACTGACATGTGGAGTTCCCCAGGGCTCCATGCTTGGTCCCGTACTGTTTACTCTATATACATGTCAACTTGGAAACATCATACAAGAACACAGTGTTCCACACCACTTCTACGCTGATTATTTCCAGCTGTTGAAAGGTCTTCCTCTGGACCCTCAGTTACAACAATCAGCTGTACAGGACATGAAATCATGCATTCAAGATGTCAAGACCTGGATGGCAACTAACAAACTACAGCTGAACGACGAGAAGACAGAACCTGCAAGAGATCTCAGATCTGCTCATCAACTACAGCTTCAATTATTGCCATAGCGTATGAAAACCTTTGGATTACGATCTTTCCAAATTGCTGCTGCACGCAAATAGAATTGTCTGCCATTAAAACTCAGGACTCAGCATTTAAAGCAAGCCTCAAGACTCATTTGTTTGAGAATTAGACTTTTCATCATGATGTATTTAGCGCTTTGAGCATGCTTTGTTGCGTGGAGATTAGCGCATTATAAGACTTCTCATTATTATTATTATTATTATTAATCTTTTTATTGATGTGGCTGGTGAAAAATAATGAAAATAGTGAAAAAATATGTCAAAAAATATTTGTACCCATGTAGAACTTGGCCAGTTCATAGTTCCTGTTGAGGGATGCATACTGAATAGGTGTACACTTGTAATCGTCCTGCTTAGTTAGGGACAGGCCCTTGTCAATCAGCTGGGTCACCACCTGAACAAGCAAACAGACATTTATTGTCTATATAACATCACTACAAACACCAACAAAACTTAATTGATTTAAAAAAACTGTACTCATCATTACAAACCAAAGAGTATCATTCAAAGATCAGCTATGGGGCTCACCATATAAGTTGGCCATGACCTTGGCCTTCTCTGTACAGATGGTTTTCTGTCTGAAAGCAGCAGGCATTTTAGCCATCCAATACACAATTTACATGAATCTTAAGAGACAATTCCAGAATTTAATATGAACATTTCAATTTTTAACAACTCCCACTTATGGAATTGTTACTGTACCTCATTACTCTTATGGAAGCATTTGCTTTCAATTTCAGTCATACACTCATTGATCGAACTCCTAATAGAAACCCCCAAACTGACTGAGTTGTTGCCACAGGTTCTGTGGATAAATCTGTTTACAATTGAACACAATATTCAACCACATAATGCTGCTGTGCATTTAACACAATATTCAACCACATAATGAAGCTGTAGGTTAAACACAATATTCCTCCACATAATGAAGCTGTAGACAATGATATCTGGACAAGACAAACCACTGACTGGTGTAAGAATGTCCTTACTATCAGGATGCAATGACATGTCGTCAGTCATGTCAGAACGAAGAAGTAGCCTTTCGTTTCATCTTATAACAAACATAGTTCCTGGGTTACATTAACCAGAATCCCTACAGCTGCCTGCTGATAATCAATCCTAGACCAGAAGGAGCACAGGTTATTATCATCAGCAACATGCCCGGCCATCTAACCAGCAAGACACACTGCCAGGTACACAAACTGCAACCACCCAATCCTCATTTAGTCAGTTTTACAACAACCAATCACCACAATACCCATATAACTGCAGAGTGACTGAGCTCATATGGAAATCAAACCTTGGACTTTAGCGTGATGAGCAAATGCTTTAACCACTGGGCTACCCCACCAACCATAAGATTTGTACACAAATTGTCTAGCCCACTATTCATCTGTAAAAAAAATGAGACTTTCTTTGAAACTCAAGTGCACTATAATGACCGTCAGCTGTTCTTGAGGGTATTTCCATCACAGTGAAAAGGTTTTTCACTGAAGCTCCTTTACATATCAACAGCATATAGTATAACAGACTAACCTTCTTTATGAGGTCATTAAACGTTGTAGCAACGAGGCTGAGGAAGTGAATCAGGTTACGTCCATGTTCACGGTTGTTGCGTATTGACTGCAGATCAGTTGCTGTGGCAAGGAGTCGCAGAACGATGTTGTACTTTTCTAGTTTCAGTCCCATCTGTTCAACACAAACAATGATGTACTAGTACTAGCTACTTACCAGTTGTTCTTGTTGAATGAGATCACTTCCACATTACCAATACACATGTAATGCATGACAAGTTAACATCAGAAAGTCTCAAGCCACAGTTAGTCAAAATACAAAGATTTTATGTATTTGGAACATACTAGAGACAAGGAACATATAGATCTCAAATGTTCAGATTATTTTTCTCAAATTAAACTGAAAACTCAGACTGCATGCAGTCTTACTTTGATACATGGAACAAAGAAAACTGGAACTGAATCTAACATTTCCATATGAATGTTCTGCTACGTGGGTATGTGCGTATTTTGTCTAACATATCAGCTGTATCAAAGTGACTTGTAAATAGTATTGTCTGGGCATGGGAAACAGGTGTGACAAGTACTGTCAAACACAGTACTGTTGTGTCGAACACTGATGTGTCGAACTTACGGTGGTCTCGAAATAGAAGTCTCGACCTTACTCATTCCTCCTTAAGTCATCATTATATTTATGGTTGTGTCGAACCTCAAAGTGTTTATAAAGGTCCTCTCAACTGCGATACTATGGTTTCTTACTGTTTATGATCCAAGCTGTTGGGATATGATTACAGAAAACTATCATGGTCACATCTTATAAGCATCCAATCCTCCCAAAGTCACCTCTTGTGGTTGGCATTGTGCATTGGTTACAGTTTGTGTGTGTGTCCAGAGATTAGGAAATGATATATCTTCCAAAATGGTTAAGAGTCTGTCAGCACCCACCTCAATGGCATCTGCAAATGTGACTCCTGATTCCTTGACTGGCTTTGCCATCACCAAGAAGCACACTCCTTGGAACTGGTTCTTCAGAGAATACTGAAAGAGAAAGGGAAGGTCATTGTTCACTAATATAAAATGAGGATAGAGAAACTTTATCCCTGGATGGATGAGTGGAGAGATGTGCTGGACAGTGAGGGATAGACATGGATTGTTGGAAACATGACCTAGACAGTGAGAGATAGACATGGATTGTAGGAGACATGAGCTGGACAGTGAGGGATAGACATGGATTGTTGGTGACATGTGAAGAAAAGTGAGGGACAGACATGGATTGTTGGAGACATGAGCTGGACAGTGAAGGATAGACATGGATTGTTGGAGGGATGAGCTGGACAGTGAGGGATAGACATGGATTGTTGGAGACATGGGCTGGACAGTGAAGGATAGACATGGATTGTTGGTGACATGAGGCTGGACAGTGAGGGTTAGACATGGATTGTTGGAGACATCATGAGCTGGACAGTGAGGGATAGACATGGATTGTTGGAGACATGAGCTGCACAGTGAGGGATATCCATGGATTGTTGAAGACATGAGCTGGACAGTGAGGGTTAGACATGGATTGTTGGAGGGATGAGCTGGACAGTGAGGCTAAGACATGGATTGTTGGAGACATTAACTGGACAGTGAGGGTTAGACATGGATTGTTGGGTCATGAGCTGGACAATGAGGGTTAGACATGGATTGTTGGAGACATGAGCTGGGCAGTTAGGGATAGATTGTTGGAGACATTATGGACATGGATTGTTGGAGACATTAGCTGGACAGTGAGGACATGGAGGACATGGATTGTTGAAGACATGAGCTGGACAGTTGCTGGACAGTGAGGACTAACATGGATTGTTGGACATTAGCTGGACAGTGAGGGATAGACATGGATTGTTGGAGGAGGTGGACATGAGACATGGATTGTTGGGAGACAGACAGTTGGTGAGGACATCCATGGATTGTTGAAGACATGAGGCTGGACAGTGAGGATTAACATGGATTGTTGGAGACATGAGCTGGACAGTGAGGGACTAACATGGATTGTTGGAGACATGAGGCTGGACAGTGAGGATAGACATGGATTGTTGGAGACATGAGGTGGACAGTGAGGATAGACATGGATTGTTGGGAGACATGAGGCTGGACAGTGAGGGACAGACATGGATTGTGGACAGGAGACATGAGTTGGACAGTGAGGGAAAGACATGGATTGATTGGGAGACAAGAGGTGGACAGTGAGGGATAGACATCGATTGTTGGAGATATGAGTTGCACAGAAAGGGATACACATAGATTTTTTGAGAGATGAGCTGCACAGAAAGGGGTAGATATGGAGTTGGAGAGATGAGCTGCACAGAAAGGGTAGATATGGAGTTGAACAGAAAGGGATACAAATGGATTGGTGGAGAGATGAGCTGAACAGAAAGGGATACACATAGATTTTTTGTGAGATGAGCTGCACAGAAAGGGGTAGAAATGGCGTTGGAGAGATGAGCTGCACAGAAAGAGGTAGATATGGATGTTGATGACATGAGCTGCACAGAAAGAGGTAGATATGGATGTTGATGACATGAGCTGCACAGAAAGAGGTAGATATGGATGTTGATGACATGAGCTGCACAGAAAGAGGTAGATATGGATTGTTGGAGACATGAGCTGGACAGTGAGGGAAAGACATGAATTGTTGGGAGACATGAGCTGGACAGTGAGGGTAAGACATAAATTGTTGGGAGACATGAGGTGGACAGTGAGGGATAGACATCGATTGTTGGAGACATGAGCTGGACAGTGAGGGGTAGATATGGATTGTTGGAAAGATGAGCTGCACAGAAAGGGGTAGAAATGGAGTTGAACAGAAGGGATACAAATGGATTGATGGAGAGATGAGCTGAACAGAAAGGGATAAACATGGATTGTTGGGAGACATGAGCTGGACAGTGAGGGACAGACATGGATTGTTGGGAGACATGAGGTGGACAGTGAGGGATAGACATCGATTGTTGGAGATATGAGCTGGACAGTGAGGGGTAGATATGGATTGTTGGAAAGATGAGCTGCACAGCAAGGGGTAGAAATGGATTTGAACAGAAGGGATACACATAGATTTTTTGAGAGATGAGCTGCACAGAAAGGGGTAGAAATGGAGTTGAACAGAAAGGGATACACATAGATTTTTTGAGAGATGAGCTGCACAGAAAGGGGTAGATATGGAGTTGGAGAGATGAGCTGCACAGAAAGGGGTAGATATGGAGTTGAACAGAAAGGGATACAAACGGATTGGTGGAGAGATGAGCTGAACAGTAAGGGATACACATAGATTTTTTGAGAGATGAGTTGCACAGAAAGGGGTAGAAATGGCGTTGGAGAGATGAGCTGCACAGAAATGGGTTGATATGGAGTTGGAAAGATGTGCTGCACAATGAGGGATAGACATGGATTGTTGGCAACATGAGCTGCACAGAAAGGAGTAGATATGGATGTTGATGACATGAGCTGCACAGAAAGAGGTAGATATGGATGTTGATGACATGAGCTGCACAGAAAGAGGTAGATATGGATGTTGATGACATGAGCTGCACAGAAAGAGGTAGATATGGATGTTGATGACATGAGCTGCACAGAAAGAGGTAGATATGGATTGTTGGAGACATGAGCTGCATATATATAGTAAGAGATAAACATGGATTGGTGTTGAGATGAGCTGCACATTGAGGGGTAGACATAGATAGAGATGAGTTGAAAGAAAATAGAGGCAACAGACATGGATCGGTGGATATGTGGTGAGATGAGTTTGACAGACATTTTGGTAATAGGATTTATTCACTGGCAATTAGGGACTTACCTCAAGGAGAGGTGTTTTAATGGTTGTCTCCTTCTTCACTTCATCTTCAACACCTTTCACTTTCCATGCCTTCATTACTTTCACTGCTCCTTTTTTCTTCTTCTTCTTCTTCCTCTTCTTATCACCATCATCTGAATCATCATCTTCATCAAAGTCATCCACATCTTCCTCATCCATTTCTTCATCTTCCTCCTCATCTTCATCTTCTTCTTCGTCTGAGTCATTGTCATGCTTACCCCCAGTATCCAATTTGACTTCCACAACAGGGTCCTTCAGACATGCTCCATTTTGGATCAGGATAGTAGCACAACTTTATTTATGAAACAGAACGACATGACACATATGATCCCCAATAAAGATCAGCACAGGTTCATAAACATAACTGCAATGACTCGTAGACATGTTGAAGAAAATAATTTTGCTCTTAAAATGTAATCTAAACCATTAATGTGAAGTCAAGAAGTCTGAAATGAGATCACAGGAAACCATAAACCTTCATGAGGAAGTAGTGAAGAGAGAAGTTACAGTTTGAACAATGTTACTTTTACCCAAACACTATAAAACACTTTCTTACAAGGGGTAATAATTTTATCTTACAAGATTTAGCAGTGATACTGCAGGTACAATGTTAATCTTAATGGAATTAATTGTGTTTCTGGAAGTCGGGTGTTTGTAGCTGATGACATGGAGCCACAGATTTATGAAGTTGATGAATTACAAATCTCTGAACCTGGGATGGGTCAACTATTTTTTATAGCTGAGATTGAAACATCGCTCTCTGTTGCTGAGATTGCACCACTGTCTCTATTTCAGATAGAACCATTGGCCTCTATTTCAGATGGAACCACTGGTCTCTATGTCAAATGGAACCACTGGCTTCTGTAACTGAGATAGCAGCACTGGTCTCTATGTCAGATAGCCCCTGTAACTGAGATTGCACCACTGGTCTCTATGCAAGATTGAACCACTGGCCTTCATTTCAGATGGAACCACTGGTCTCTATGTCAGATTGCAGAAATGGTCTCTATTTCAGATGGAACCACTTGCCCCTGTAACTGAGATTGCACCACTGGTATCTATGTCAGATGGAACCACTGGCCCCTGTAACTGAGATTGCAACACTGGTATCTATATCAGATGGGACCACTGGCCTCTGTAACTGAGATTGCAACACTGGTCTCTTTATTAGATGGAACCACTGGTCTCTGTAACTGAGATTGCAACACTGGTCTCTATATTAGATGGAACCACTGGCCTCTGTAGCTGAGATTGCACCACTGGTCTCTATGTCAGATGGAACCATTGGCCTCTGTAGCTGAGATTGCACCACTGGTCTCTATATTAGATCGAACCACTGGTCTCTGTAGCTGAGATTGAAACACTGGTCTCTATATCAGATGGAACCATTGGCCTCTGTAGCTGAGATTGCAACACTGGTCTCTATGTCAGATGGAACCACTGGCTTCTGTAGCTGAGATTGCACCACTGGTCTCTATATCAGATGGAACCACTGGTTTCTGTAGCTGAGATTGAAACACTGGTATCTATGTCAGATGGAACCACTGGCCCCTGTAACTGAGATTGCAACACTGGTATCTATATCAGATGGAACCACTGGCCTCTGTAACTGAGATTGCACCACTGGTCTCTTTATTAGATGGAACCACTGGTCTCTGTAGCTGAGAATGCAACACTGGTCTCTATATCAGATGGAACCACTGGTCTCTGTAGCTGAGATTGCAACACTGGTCTCTATATCAGATGGAACCACTGGCCTCTGTAGCTGAGATTGCAACACTGGTCTCTATATTAGATCGAACCACTGGTCTCTGTAGCTGAGATTGAAACACTGGTCTCTATATCAGATGGAACCATTGGCCTCTGTAGCTGAGATTGCACCACTGGTCTCTATATTAGATGGAACCACTGGTCTCTGTAGCTGAGATTGAAACACTGGTCTCTATATCAGATGGAACCATTGGCCTCTGTAGCTGAGATTGCAACACTGGTCTCTATATTAGATGGAACCACTGGCTTCTGTAGCTGAGATTGCACCACTGGTCTCTATATCAGATGGAACCACTGGTTTCTGTAGCTGAGATTGAAACACTGGTCTCTATATCAGATGGAACCACTTGCCCCTGTCACTGAGATTGCAACACTGGTATCTATGTCAGATGGAACCACTGGCCCCTGTAACTGAGATTGTAACACTGGTATCTATATCAGATGGGACCACTGGCCTCTGTAACTGAGATTGCACCACTGGTCTCTATATTAGATGGAACCACTGGTCTCTGTAGCTGAGATTGCAACAGTCTCTATATTGAAACCACTGGTCTCTGTAGCTGAGATTGCACCACTGGTCTCTATATTAGATGGAACCATTGGCCTCTGTAGCTGAGATTGAAACACTGGTCTCTATATTAGATGGAACCACTGGCTTCTGTAGCTGAGATTGCACCACTGGTCTCTATATCAGATGGAACCACTGGTTTCTGTAGCTGAGATTGAAACACTGGTCTCTATATCAGATGGAACCACTTGCCCCTGTAACTGAGATTGCAACACTGGTATCTATGTCAGATGGAACCACTGGCCCCTGTAACTGAGATTGTAACACTGGTATCTATCTCAGATGGGACCACTGGCCTCTGTAACTGAGATTGCACCACTGGTCTCTATATTAGATGGAACCACTGGTCTCTGTAACTGAGATTGCAACACTGGTCTCTATATTAGATGAAACCACTGGCCTCTGTAGCTGAGATTGCAACACTGGTCTCTATGTCAGATGGAACCATTGGCCTCTGTAGCTGAGATTGCAACACTGGTCTCTATGTCAGATGGAACCACTGGACTCTGTAGCTGAGATTGCACCACTGGTCTCTATATTAGATGGAACCACTGGTCTCTGTAACTGAGATTGCAACACTGGACTCTATATTAGATGGAACCACTGGTCTCTGTAGCTGAGATTGCAACACTGGTCTCTATATTAGATGGAACCACTGGTCTCTGTAGCTGAGATTGCAACACTGGTCTCTATATTAGATGGAACCACTGGTCTCTGTAGCTGAGATTGCAACACTGGTCTCTATATCAGATGGAACCATTGGCCTCTGTAGCTGAGATTGCAACACTGGTCTCTATATCAGATGGAACCATTGGCCTCTGTAGCTGAGATTACAACACTGGTCTCTATGTCAGATGGAACCACTGGTCTCTGTAGCTGAGATTGCAACACTGGTATCTATATCAGATGGAACTATTGGCCTCTGTAGTTGAGATTACAACACTGGTCTCTATGTCAGATGGAACCACTGGCTTCTGTAGCTGAGATTGCACCACTGATCTCTATATCAGATGGAACCACTGGCTTCTGTAGCCGAGATTGCACCACTGGTCTCTATGTCAGATGGAACCACCATTCTGTAGCTGAGATTGCACCACTGGTCTCTATGTCAGACAGAGAGCTGGACGTGCAGTCACATGTAGTTGATGAGTTGGAGACAAGTGACTAGCTCACAAGAGCATTTGGTCTGACACAAAGCTGGACATAGAAGCCTGGACGATATAAAGTAAATAAGATGGAGCCAAGTAGCTGAAAATTTTGGAATTGATTTGAAACAATTTGAACAACTAATGTCAATATTTAAAACAATCACCAAAATGGTACCTTTAGAATTGATATTTTGACAGGTCTTACTTGTACTTACCCATCATGATGGCCCTTAACAGCCATTGTCAATGGAGTGTTGCCATGGTTATCCTTCAAGTTCACGTCAGCACCCATCTGCAATCCAAAATGCATAAGTTTAAGTAATATTGTTAATCAGGTTTAAACCTTTATCAAGATGCCAGAATTGGTTGGAACAAGTATGTAAAGTTTTGGGTTCAATGGTCCTGTGGTTTCTGGAAACATAAAGTTCACAGTGTGAGTAACTTTACATTGGCTGCAGACTCACCAGCATCTGGTACATACAGCAGACATTGGCTGCACAAACACCTACATCAAGTATATACAACAGGCATTTCATCAGGTACATACAACTGACATTGACTGCCAACTCACCTGCACCAGGTACATACAACAGACATTGGCTGCAGACTCACCTGTGCCAGGTACATATAACAGACATTGGCTGCCGACTCACCTGCATCAGGCACATACAACAGATGTCGGCCATCAACTCACCTGACATTGGCTGCAGACTCACCTGTGCCAGGTACATACAACAGACATTGGCTGCCGACTCACCTGCATCAGGTACATACAACAGATGTTGGCCATCAACTCACCTGTATCAGGTTTATACAACAGACATTGGCTGCTGACTCACCTGTGCCAGGTACATACAACAGACATTGGCCATTGACTCACCTGCATCAGGTACATACAACAGACATTGGCCATCAACTCACTTGCATCAGGTACTATACATACAACAGACATTGGCTGCCGACTCACCTGCATCAGGTACATACAACAGATGTTAGCTCCCCTGAAGGCTGCCCGATGAAGAGGTGTACACCCAAACTTGTCCTGAGTGTTGATTTCCGCTGGTTTCACCTTGGCAGCGATCATACGACACAGGTCTACTGGGTCATGCTGGGAGCTGTCTGTGTGTCTGCAAGTATGACCAAATATCATGCTCAGGACTGAAGGAAGTCAGGGTATAAGCTGTCCCAAGTGACCCCTGCTTGTTGTTAGATTGATCTGTCAGGGTACCGATCCACAAAACTTTCGTAACGCTTCAATATTTCTGCATGTCTTTCAGTCTATAAGTCAGTTCTTACTCAATGCTAGTGTTCGTCTTTTCTTATTTTTCATACAACTAAAAATACATGCATGGATTAAAGATGAAAAACTTCTTACAAAGGATTAAACTTACAGAATTAATTAAGACACTAATTGTGGAATCACATGCTAGAGGACACACTGATGATGCAAACTGTCTGTATACCACATGACTCCTATTGCCTGTCAGGAATGCAGACTTATTCACTATAAAGATATCAGCATTGTATTATCTGAGATGAGTTTGACAGTCAATTAATTTATGATTATGAGTGAGTGAGATTAGTTTTATGACATTTTTAGCAATATTCCAGCAATATCGCGGCGGGGGACACCAGAAATGGGCTTCACACATTGTACCCATGTGGAGAATCGAATCCAGGTCATCGGCGTGACGAGCCAATGCTTTAACCACTAGGCTACCCCATCGCTCTTATGATTATCAGATATTGTGAAATCCAACCTACTTCCCTCTCTTGACAAACACATAATGCAAGGGTATCCGGCCACGCACATCCTTGATCGTCAAGTCCGCGCCCTTGTTTATGAGGGCCAGCACAAGGTCAAAGTTGTCATCCATGTTTCCTTGGTTGTAATCAACAGCAAGGTGAAGCGGCGTCCGAAGCGTCTTGTTCAGACTATTCACATCAGCTCCGTGACTGAGAAGAACCTTCATCATCTCCAGTGTACCTGAGGATTCAGATGGCATGATTCATTACACATAGCGATGAGTGAGTGAGTGAGTGAGTCACGCTTTATGACCTTATGACCAAATGAGTAAAGATTTGATTTAAATAAGACTGAAGTGAATAAGTGAGTATGGTTGTAAGCCACTTTAAGCAATATTCAAGCAATATCACAGCGGTGAACGCCAGAATGGGCTTCATATATTCTACCCAGGTGGGGAATCGAACCCCGGTCTTCAGCATGATAAGTGGACACTTTAACCATTAGGCTACCCTTAATAAGACTGAATAGTAAGGCTGTTACGATTCACTCGCATATTCGGTGAATCGAACCGTAGCCCTTCATGAATTCAATTCGTTATTCGTGGTCACCAGAACCGAATATTCATGAATATTTACAATTTTTTTAAAGGTCACATAAACCCTAGGGGGTACAAATACATAAATCACTAACTGGCATCCTTATAAATGAAACCCCGTCATTAAAACTACTCATTTCGACCTTTAATTGACTTAAATCGACCTTTTTGACAACAGTGCACAATTCTCACCCGCGAACGAAATGTCAACCAATCAGAGCGGCGCGACTCTGTGACGTCATATGAGGAATAGCTTTGAGGGCCGATGCAGAATTCATCTACATTTTAGGGGGTAAATTATCTTGTTTACAGGCTTGTATAAACCTGAAATCGTGACAATTGTTGTGGAAAATGAAAGCTATATGTTCTCACAATCTACTGTCATTTAATTTTGTCTCCTGCTTTGCCTAGTTCCGAGTTACAACTTGTTTTCATAGGCGGCTTCTGTCACAATTGATTGGTGTCGTTAGGCCCTATTTGTATAATGACTGATCCAAATTGATCCCATTTCTGTGTTTTTTTTACCTCGATATTTAATCATGTCATGTAAAATCTGTTTGTATTCTCAAAACAGTGTAGGCCCATAAGTTTTCACATGCAATACAGCAATTAATACTCCCTTGTTGTAACCGTGTTAGGTGGTATAAACCTACACATGTTATTTGTCATCATTCACTTGATGGTCAGTTAATGGATTTATAACAGGTATAATTAGTGGTAACACACTTAGATTACCGACAAAGGTTCCCATTTGGTATTTCTTGTGTCTGGAGTAAATATTCAACATTATAAACATCGATCAAAGGATTAACCGATAACACGCTGATTGATTAATTACTTTTATCTTACACAGCGGATTTGTCAAAAGGTAGTGTTTATGTATGTAGATTTACTAATCTATACTGAATACACTCTGCCGTGTCGGCAATCGGTGTCTGCGTAAAAACAACGTCCTTCTTTCAAAGGATTAACCGGCAATACATTGATTGATTGCCCATTATTGGCTAACTAAATTACTGTTTTTTAATGAAAGGCGGACATTATGCAATTAGTTGCCAGGTGTGCTATCTTGGGTGACCAATGAGACTATACACCAATACCTGAAAAGATTTATCACTTTTTCAGTATATTAAACTGTTAAAAGACACATCATTTGGAACAGTTTTGTGGATATTGATGGATACATTCCTCAAACAAGGTAATGGCCTGATATTGTTCCTATAACTTTAATCTGTTTAAAATTTAATATTTGCATTTTGTTTTTATTCATTTTGTCGTAGCATTCAACAGAATCATTGTTTTAGCCGTGAAGTGTAAGGAGACAGACAACATACACTAGGTGTGTGTGCGAATTATGATTCACATTGGCAAACTATAAAATGTCTAGATATTACAGTTCTGTTATAAATTCACTATAAGTATCAGCAGATCGTCAGCTTTTATTTAGTTTCAAAATGCATAAAAGTATGATAATAAACTAATTAGGATTATAAGACCAAATATAAAGGCGCACATTGACTAGTATCTACATACTGGTGAGTGGACATTAACCATGTGAATGTAGAAAGAAATTTATCAGCAGTATTGTGACTTCGACCCCCACCTCGCTTCGTGGAAGAAATCGTTATGTTATAAGTTGTGTCATGCAAAATCCTTTTGGTTATGATTCCAATACATATTTAACTACGAGTAGAAAGTAGTTTTGATTTTCTAACTTGATGAAAACAAACTATAATCTCATTAATTCTAACAGACTTTACGATTTTCAAAAATGGCGGCCCGTCGGCAACATCCGCCAGTCTGTGGATAAATGCTATTTAGGTTTGTTTTCACCGAGTTACAAAATCAAAACTACTTTCTACTGGTAGTAAAATATGTATTTTATTGATGGCCAATAGGATTTTGCATGACATAGCGTATAACATAACAATTTCTCTCGTGGCAGCGAGGTGGGTGTCAATATAATACTACTTACACATTTTTTGTTACTTCGACCACAACCTCACTTCCGAGGAAGAAATCATTATGTTACAAGTTGTGTTATGGAAAATAACCCATTTAGCACGAACTGCGGGGTCCTGTGGAAATCTGTGCATGGTGACACCATCACCCGACCCCTAGGAGCAATTGACGACAAAGCAACGATTCGGCATGTCGTCGTTCATGTCGAGAAATCATCAAAATGATGAGCGTGCTACACACTTTCTATACAACTAACTGAAAATCGTTCCTCATATGACGTCACTGCAGTGCTCTGGCGACAGAGTTACGTAACCTGTCTGTGGTTTCGTTGGCGGGCTCGAGAGGGAAGCAGGCGACTTTTTGGCCACTTTTAATCGCTCGGTATTAATTAACCACAAGTTTTTAAAGAATAAATTTGGTGTTCCGCATAAAACTAACCACAAATCTTTCATATGTAATGGTTAAAAGAGTAACAAAAAACAAAGTTTAGTGGTTCTTTAAGGGAGTGTGTTTTACTTGAACCCTTGTGTCCTTTTTCAAAATGAGATATGCAAGAATGCATTATGTACTATCCTTGTAGTAGCGCAAGTCATGTTAGTTTGCCAAGGGCGGACATGTTACTGTCAACTATAACTATTACATACCAAATTTGAGTGTCAGGAGATAACTGGTTATTGCTGTGACAAATTAACACTGTCAACATGGGCTTTCCATATTGTGCATCAATCACTAACTACAATATCGTATTCGTGAATAATTATTCGTATTCGTTACCCAATATTCGTGATACGTATCATATTCGCAACATAGTGTATTCATTACAGCCCTACTGAATAGGCCATCATATAAAATGTAACTGAAAAATGGGTAGGTCTAATGTGTGACAGCATACCAGATGCCTTGTCTCCCTTGATGATGGCAGCATGGAGAGGCCCACCGCCGTCCCTCTCATCAATCACATGCAGGTCCGCAGAGGCATTTACCATTAACGATAGGAGCTCAAGGTTGGCTGTGCTGATGATGCAAAACACAAAGAAATGATGACAGGGTGAACTTGGGGAATTCATCTTCCTTTCAATGCAATATTTCACTACAGAGTCTAGTGCTTTAAAATAGTATCAAGCAATACTGAAACATCAAAATCAGGAAGGCAATATTTAGACTTCCATAGGCCACTCAAGATATCAAACACAAGGATCGATAACATTACATACATTAGCTTTTAAGCACTGCTGCTCATAACGTACAATCTTTGTCAGCTCAAAGTTACAAGAGGTGAAAACATAAGCACTCATTTAATAACTAAGTGTAGCTGACATGAAGGCTGGGCATTTTTCTGAGACATATCCTCAACAATGGTGAAGACAAAGATCACATAATGGTTCCTGCAAGAAACATGATCGTGATTCAATTCCATAACTGATATTCTTCTCAGTGTTTAATTGTTTTGGGAAAACAACTTAATTCCAAATGCATATCCTACCAAACAGCAGAATTGTGGTCTCTGTGTGTAGTTTTTGAGAGAAAGATACTGTTCAGTTTTCAATCTGGAAAATTTATTGTACTTTATTAGTATGAACAAATGAAAATATGTACTTTTTATGATAAAAATGTAATTTTTAAAGTAAAATTGATATTTTATACTTATCCTGACTCATGATATTTTGCTTATCTCCTCCTTCTATGTGAATGTTAGTGGAACACTTGAATCCCTTGTAGTTCCCCGAAGAGGACGTAAAAGTTCACTCACCCACGAGTTACCTCCCTTTTCCTGCGCAAACAGTCATGTGACCTGCCATACTTGCCACTCTCTCCTGAATTTAGCCCATGCACCTGAGTTTACTGTGAAACCCGAGGTGTCTTCAGCAGGGAGGTTGGGAGGGCTTGACCTCATGAGTCAGGATAAAAAATAACATATTTTTCTTTATCTTGACTCATGCTATTTTCCTTATAGAATCCGACGGATTGGTGGTGGGCCAAGCCACTTCTTGGATTCATCAGCTGTCCTTAGACATGTCCTGTATCCCCCCCCATGGGAACTGCGTAACGACACTTCCTAGATCCTATTCTTCTAACTTCCTTTATTAACTCTGGGTGACCACAATCTTGTCATACTTCTCTTAAGACAAGTGAATCTTTTTAGATTCATGTGGATGTTAGATATATACTAGTATCTTCTTTTTGCTAGTTATCTATAACAACCCATAGATTATGATAAGATCGTTATCATAAATGAGTTGCGACCCCTTTACGTACAGGTGAGATCGTTACCCGTACAGAGTCTTAATCACTCATGCTAGTCTAGTCTAGACGGTGCCCATGAACTTTCATCTAAAACTCTCCAGAGCAAAAGTTATCAACAAGTCAACGTGATAAAGGTTGAGATTTCCAATTCAGCGCCTTTATGGAACTGTTAGTTGTTGTGCTACAACAAGTGGCCCAAACTGGTGAATGACGGAAACGTCTTCAGTGGCTATGTCTCTGAGGTAGTGGTTGGCAAACACCATATCTGAATTCCAAAAGCAGCCCTCCATTATTGATGATATTGAGCAGTTTCCATGCAGAGCAAGTGTAGACACTAGTGCTCTGACTTCATGTGGGCTGGAAGCTCTTGGAGGTTCTAATCCTGCTGCTTTGTAGGCCCTCAGTGTAACGGCTTTCATCCAAAATGATATTGTCGTTCTTGAGACCTCTACAGATGTCTCGGTTGACAAGGGGATGAATAGGTGCTTGAATTTTCTTCTCCTTGTCTTAGTCTTTTGAAAATATATTTTCAGGGCTCTGACAGGACACAAGGCTAAGTCCTGGGTGTCCTCTGGTCCGAGGATTGTAGATAGCGCTGAGAGGTGGAACTGTCTATCTGGTTGTCCAGGCAACTGATTCTTTGCAATAAAGTCCCATCTAAGTCCTAGATGTACTGCAGCACGGTCTCCGATGTCAAATCTAGTTCGTCCAAAGTCCAGCGCATGTATCTTTGACATTCGAGCTGCCGTAGCTAAGGCAAGGAGGAACAGAGTTTTCTGTGCGAGTAGCTCGAAGGTAGTTTGCTCTAGAGGTTCGTAGGCATCACTCATGAGATGTCATAGAATTACGTTCAGATCCCAGGCTAGTGTTCTGAATTTCTTTTGCTGGTCTTCCAGTTTAAAAGAGCGTAGCAGAGCCAGTAGTTCTGGCACTTTCGTCAGTTTGATGCCTGTCTTCATCGTGACGACTGTACTAATGGCTTCCAGGTATGTAGATAATGTCGAACCTTTCAATTGCCATGTATATCTAAAGTGTCATAGATATTCCGCCACTTGAGGATGAGTCGCTTTCATTGCTGTGAAGCCTTTCCGCCTTGCATACTGTTCAAATTTCTGCCATTTGTCGTTGTACAAGTTGCGAGTTGATCTGCATAGAGCTAAAGTTAGTGCTTTCGCTGCTCAGGCAGAGTATCCTCTTTTCTTCAAGCAAGTTTTTATACGGTCCATACGAGTAGCTGGAACATTAGTGGGTTCCCGTGGACTAGCTTGGTGTGCAGATGTATGAGTAGGTTCGGCCATTCTGGTAGTTTCAGGGTTGGACTTCCGAGTTCTTGTACTAGATCTAGGAACCAGACTCTCGCTGGCCAATAGGGCCCGACGAAAGTCAGTTGTAGCACTTGGGTCTGTTTGATCTTCAATAGTACTTTCGGTAGTAGAATCGGAGCGGAAACGCCTTTTGCGTTTAGTCCTTAGCATGATATGCTCAGTGCTTCTGTTGCCCAGGCTTGAGGATCTGGTACTGGTGAAACGAATGTCTGTAGTTGTTTGTTGAACCTTGTTGCGAACAGGTCTATGCAGGGAGATCCTATTTCCGTTATGATGAGCCGAAATGCCTCTTGGTGGAGCATTCATTCCATGGATCACGGATGAAGTGGACTAGATAGAGCGTCTGCTAGTACGTTCTTGGCTCCCGGTATTTGGCACGCCTTAAGCCAGATGTTTGCTTCCTCCGTGATGTTGAACAACTGGAAGGTGAGCTGAAGTAGGCTTGGCGATCTTGTTGATCCCTTTCGAGTTATGGAGAATGCCACTGTTGAGTTGTCCGTGTGAATCATCAGCATTCCGTTGATCAGTGAGCTCGACCAATGTTGTAAGGCGTTGATCACAGCTTTCATTTCCAGCAGATTGATGTGAAAATGTTCTTGTTTCGACCACTTGCCTGATGCTACTTTGTTGTCGAGATGCGCTCCCCATCCTTGTAGTGATGCATCTACGTAAAGGTGTGTGTCAGAGACCGGCTCGTGTAAATAAGTCCCTCCCCAGACATTTGACTTGTGAGTCCACCATAGCAGGTACGTTTTGAGATTGTCTGGTAGCGAGATCAGGTCCACGCTGTCCAGGTGTTTTGCCAGGAAACGCTGCAACAGACGTAGTTGAAGTTTTCCTGTGCGAGTCAAGTCCTGCACTGAGGTGAGTAGACCGAGGAGACACTGCCATGTTCGTAGTTGTAATGGAGAGATGACTGCTTCTGGAATCATGGCTTGTATCTTGACCCAACAATCTTCTGGGACCACAATTCGATTCTGTGTTGTGATAAACCTTATTCCCAGGAATTGAAAATCTTGTTTTGGTTCCAACTCTGACTTCATCAAGTTTACTAGCCATCCCAGTTGTGTGAGCAGTTTGATGGTGAAGTCAAGCTGCCGTCTGAGTTGATTGGCTTCTTGATGAACTTGTATCCCGTCGTCCAGATAAAAGGTACTGCGTAGACCTCGATGATGTAGATAGGTGACAATGGGCTTGGTCACTCATGTGAATAACCACGGAGCCCACAATATTCCAAACGGTAGGACGTACCATTGGAAGTGTTGACCTCTGAATAGGAATCTTGGGGTACTTTCTTGATTCTTGATGAATCGGGATGTGTAGATATGCATCCTGTAGGTCTATGCTGGCCAGGTAATCTGCTGGACGGACGAGTTGTCTGAGTTGAGGCAGGTGGATCATCTTGAACCTGTCTGGTTTGAGTAGATAGTCTTGGTTGAATCTCTTCATGTTGTAAATCAACCTGAATTTCTCTTTGGAATTCTTCTTGGTACTAGGAAAATTGGGGAGTAGAAGCCAGTGTGAGATGATGTTGATCTATAACTTCTTGATCAATAGCGAGTTGATGGCTTCTTCTTACTTCTCTGCCTGCTCGTCTGCGTAGTCGAAGACTACCGGGTCGAGGGTTAAAGGAGCTGCACTCTGTAAACTTCTCGCAGGACTTGTGAGACGTAGTCGTCCTCCAATATTCCCAAAATTTCCTAGTACCTTTGTAGACGTCCACCCACTGTTGACGGTTGTACAAGAAAATCTGGGGGTGGAAGTGTCCAGTCATTCCGAACCCCATTTTCAATGTGTAGCTCCTCTGAAACCTCTGGGATTACGTCCTCTCCCAGAGTTTCCCCTGTAGTTTCCGGATGTGCGACGAAAAGAGCTCTTTCCACCCCTGAAGCTGGAGTATTTCTTCTCCTTTGCCTTCTGCATCCCAGAGAAGTTTGACTTGTTGCTTTACCTCTGTGATGTTTGGCAAATGACGTTAGCCAATGTGTCTATAGACTTGATCATCATGACTTCTCTTGAATCATGTGTGGCTTCCTTAGTAGCTTCATTAATCTCCCCGCCGAAGATAGTAGGCGCCGCCCAAGGAACTCTTAGTAGTGGTTGGGTACATCTGTCACTCCAGGAACATGATGCTAGTAGACCCTGTCTATGTATTAAGGTGTGACCTGCCAACGTTGAGGCCAAGTGATCTGACATGAAGTGTTGGTCCTTCTTCTGAGTTAAGAGTGCTGATAGGATCATCCTATCCTTTTCCGTCCTGGGGTTCTGGAATTTGGATATCAATGCCTCATTGATCGCTCTAGACCTTGCTAACCCGGAGAATGTTCTCCTAGTCGTGGTGTCGAGTTGAGCCATCTTTTTGTCTTCGACCTTATAAGACTTGTTACGGGAGTCATTAATCAACCTCATGTTGTCGTCTAAGTCCGGTGCTCTCATGAAGGGGTCCATATGATGCAGAGGGAACTTCCTCGCATTGAACGTTGATAAATGTTGATTCTGATAGCGAGTTGCTTTCTCAACAGCTGTATGTAGGTTCGTAGACACCTTGGAGATCGGTTCAATCGGTGGAATCGTGAGGGTGTCGAAGTCATCCTTCACATGTTATATGTGAATGCTTCATCTGATTCCTTGGAGGGGGACTCTAAGTCCAATCCATTTGCAATCCAAGATGTGACCTCTGCTTCCGAAAAGACGTAGGCTCCCTGTTCATCAGATAGTTCCGGGTCCGTTACTGTGCCTTTGCGAACCTTCCTTCCTTTCGCGAACCTTCCTCTCGCGAACCTTCCTTTCGCGAACCTTCCCTTCGTGAACGTTCCTCTGAACGTCTGTGGGGACTGCGGGATCTAGATGTGGAGCGGCTGGATCTCAGAGAGGACCTTCTTGACGTTCTCAAACGTTGTCTCAGGGACATTCGCAGAACCTTCATCTTCACCCATGATGATTGAGTGTGAGAATCTTCCCAAACGTCATTTTCAGTTGTAGACCTGTGGGGCGTGGATGTAGATCTCTCAGGTTCACGAAGGTCCGAGGGTTCGCGAACGTTGACTGCCATCGTAGGGTCCTGCCGTGTCGTTGCTTCTTCGGTGAACAAAGGCTCCATCATGGCCATCATCTACATTGTAAAGTGTCTCATAAAGTCGCCCGGGCCGATTGTGGTTTCCAATTGTGGATACTATAAGCCAGCGTGTCGAAAGAGGGTGTCGAGAAGTATGCCTGTATGGATCTTGAAGAATATCGATGTTGAATCTAATTGATAGGATATAGATTCCTAATCCCAACGTTGAGTGACGAGTGTTGATAATATCACCTATACACCGTCCAAGGATTCTTGAAGGCGTTGTCAACCTTAAGCACTTTACGAAGGTCGCCTTGAGGTTCTCCAGTACTTGAGATATCGGCTTCATAGGTGATATCATATTGGAGTCAAAGTCATCAGCATATATGCAGTGCGTCGCTGTTGGGTTTGAGTGAGTGAGTGAACGACAATATCAGCAGGCCTTCTGCTACCCAGGGTAAGACCTCCGCATCCGTGTAGATGAAGGGATTCCCCTCATCAAGTAGGTTGTCGTCCAAAACTGAACCTACTACAGGTGTAAGGTTCGTGCAGGCTGTAGAGTTTGTGTAGGCTGTAAGCTGTGGAGATCGCACATGTTGTTGATCTTTTGTTGAGTTATAAGCGCTGACAAAACCATCCGTTTTCATTTCGACTGTGGATTCTTGAACGTTTTAATCATTGCTTCATTGATGAGCCGTGACCTTACTAACCTTCTGCTAGTAGTGTCAAACTGAGCTAATTAGCAATCCTCACCTCGGTAGCTGTGTGACTTGGAGTCGCTGAGCAGAGAAATCTTCATCAATCTCAGGCGCCATATTATGTAGTGGGAATTTCCGAGCAATAAGCGTTGTTGTATGTTGCCCTTGATTCTTAGAAGCTTGGCAAACGATGCTTTCAGATTCTCTGGGATCTGAGATATCGTTTTATTCAGCGGTATGGTAATAGAGTTGACGTCAACATCCTGTATGTAGTATGCATCCGCTGGGTTGGAGTCCCGGGTAGGTGAGGATATAGGTAAACCATCTGCAATCCAGGATAATATCTCTGCATCATTGTAAATAAAGGAGTCTGACTCCTCTTGAGCGTTTTCCTCTATTATGGGGACAACTCAGGTGGAGGGTTCGCGAACCCTGTCGACAGGCGTGGCTCCGGCAGTCGACATTCACTCAAGGGGTTCACCAACCTGACTGGATCACATAGGTGATGAGGTAGTGTTTGCAAACGCAAGCGGATTGACCATAATCTGCTGATGATATTTATCAGTTGATAATCTCGGAGGGTTCGCGAACCCTGTAGATGTCTGCATTGCTGATATCTGCCTGTTGATCTGAGGGTTCACGAACCCTGTAAATGTCTGCGTTGCTGATATCTGCCTGTTGATCTGAGGGTTCACGAGCCCTGTAGATGTCTGCGTTGCTGATATCTGCCTGTTGATCTGAGGGTTCACGAGCCCTGTAGATGTCTGCATTGCTGATATCTGCCTGTTGATCTGAGGGTTCGCGAACCCTAACGACATCGTAGACGAACTGCGAGGAGTACACTGCCTGGACATCGATTAGATGTATGACTGGACTGCGTTGCCGGGTTCGTGAACCCTGATGTCATAACTGGAGACAGCTTCTGCGATGATCGTATGAAGATCTCAGGCACCAGGACAGGTGGTTGCGCCATCGATAGCTTAAGAGCTTTGTCAGCAGGCACTAGGTCGTTCGTAAACAATCCAACTTCAGCAGCCAGCACAGATGATCTAGTAGACCTCGAACGGTCTAATTGAGGACAATGCTGTCTCTGCAAGAGCGGCAGAGACGGGAATAACCCCGGAGGGAGATTAAAAACAGCAGACAAGGAATGCTAACATTCCCAGTTGATGGTAGACTAGACAGCTCATGACCAGGTGACTGGGGAACACTCGTCAGCGGCAATCTTTCAGTGACTTCTCTTTTTCCTCTTAAAAACATGTCTACAGCACCAGGAGTTCCCAGTCGGTAACCCATAGTCCTGCGTAAATGGGATAACAAAATGTTATGAAATGCAAATTCCGATAAATGTGCATAATATTTACAACGTGAGGCAAGTAAACACGATGTATTAACACAAGTACAACACACAGGGTGTAGATCAGCCGCTGAATGTGTACTCTGCATTGTTTACATGCCACCATGTAAAAGCAGTCACCTGAAATGGAGTGAGAAAATCTCCAAATTTAGCCGTAGTTTATGTCAATAAATACATCGTTATGATAATATAATGATCCAAAATACAATTCACAGCCTTAATTTGAAAATCTTGACGAACATATAAAGGATATAAGTCGTAAAAAAGGGACTCATGAATCGCCCGACAGTCCGAAAGGGCGATGAAGGAGAGAGTGACAAGAGCATGCCTCTGTGTTGGTCACGTGGGACGCAGTGGCAGCAAACTGAGGGGAGGTGCCCAACTGGGTGAGTGATTTTACGTTTGCTTCAGGGAGCAAAGAGATTCTAGTTTCCACGTATCATTCGAAGGAAAAGGGAGATAAGCATATAGCATGAGTCAGGATAAGGAAAAATATCATTCTTGCACTAAATCATATAAAGTTTCATGCTACCAGAAAAATAACACATTACCCTGGACTCCACAATGACTGATTCAATTACAATCACAAAGAAAAAAATTGCCAAACAAATTCGATTTGCAAAGGTGCTCAACATTAATAGTCACAAAGTCATGAACAACGTTACAACATTATGCCAATCTTCTGAAGATGAAGTTCTGAATTTCTGCACAATATTTCATCATGTTCCATCAGCTTATGATCCACTCCTCCACCAAGCCCAATCTATTGTATAAACATCGCACCTATTGTATAAACATCTCCTTCATTGTAACCACTCCTGTATTTATACATCTCTGGCTTCCATTCACTATCCTTTGTGTACTCACTGGCTTCTTCAGCTTACTGCTTAACCAATTATGGCAATTATGTTGTTTCCTTTGTAAATTACTATGTATATTGTTTCATTGTTATATACAGTATATATATGCAGCTCCTCCACTTCATGTATCACTCTTGCTTGACAATGGTACAAGAATCTGTATCGAAACGTCGCACTCACGAAATAAAGAAGTTGTTATCCATAAAACTTGTTCCATACATATATTTCAGTTCTGACTGAAGTTTATCAAATATTGGATCCAACAAAACAAAACAACCACAATTTGATCCCATCAGTCAGTTTAAAAACACAAAGATCAAAACATCACATACATTCTTTCAAAGGTAATTTGTTAACTCACAGAGCTGCTATGACAACTGTCCAGATTTTGTACTTCTTCCCATTCTCCTCCTTGATGTAATAGGCATTCACATCTGCATTGCTTTCCTTGACCTGAAAACATGGAGTTATCTTTCCCTGAGCCAATCAACACACATGAAACTGAAATACTGTTTATTTGATATTTGCATTTTCTAAATCTGAGTCTAAATTATAAACATATGTTGACAATTGAATTTGAAAATACCACCTTGCTCATACATTCTGTGAGATCAAGATAATATTAAATACAAAGAATGAGTGAGGATCACTTCCGCTGTCACAAATCACTTGCTGGTGATTGTCATAAATTAGCTGGTAAATGTATCATTCTTGTGAATATTTATGTTATTATGGTACAAAATATTGTTGTTATTCAACAGATGCATTAAAATGCAATCTTCATCATGTCCCTTATGACAAGACATCACTTTTTACCAGATTTTATTTTCATGCCATAAGAACATGTCAAAAGAACATACCCTAAGTACATGCCATGAGGACATGCCCATGAGTACATGAGATGGGTACATGCCACAAGTACATGCCAAAAGGATAGGCCATAACTACATGCCAAAGGAACATGCCATAGTCACATGTACAAAAGTATGTGCCATGACTACATGCCACAAGTACATGTACATGAGATGGGTACATGCTGTGAGTACATGCCGCAAGTACATGAGATGGGTACATGCCACAAGTACATGACACAAATACATGATCGAGATGGGTACATGTCACAAGTACATGCCAAAAGGATAGGCCATAACTACATGCCAAAGGAACATGCCATAGTCACATGTACAAAAGTATGTGCCATGACTACATGCCACAAGTACATGTACATGAGATGGGTACATGCTGTGAGTACATGCCACAAGTACATGAGATGGGTACATACCACCAGTACCCGACACAAGTACATGACACAAATACATGATTGATATGGGTACATGCCACAAGTACATGAGATGGGTACATGACACAAGTACATGCCACAAGTACATGATCGAGATGGGTACATGCCACAAGTATCGAGATGGGTACATGCCACAAGTACATGAGATGGGTACATGCCATGAGATGGGTACATGCCACAAGTAATTACATGGACATGCCACAAGTACATGAGATGACACAGAAGTACATGAGATGGGTACATGCCACAATTACATACCACATGAGATACATGCCACACAGTACATGACACAAGTACATTAGATGGGTACACATTAGATGGGTACATGTCACAATTACATGCCACAAGTACATGCCACAAATTACATTAGATGGATTTACATGCCACAAGTACATGAGATGGGTACATGCCACAAGTACATGAGATGGGTACATGGGTACACAAGTACATTAGATGGATGAGAGTTGCATGAGATGGGTACATGCCACAAGTACATGCCACAAGTACATGAGATGGGTACATGCCACAAGTACATGAGATGGGTACATGCCACAAGTACATGAGATGGGTACATGCCACAAGTACATGAGATGGGTACATGACCACAAGTACATGAGATGGGTACATGACACAAGTAAGTACATGAGATGGGTACATACCACAAGTACATTATGGGTACATGCCACAAAGTACATTAGATGGGTACATGCCACAGAGGTACATGAGATGGGTACATGCCACAAGTACATGAGATGGGTACACACAAGTACATGAGATGGGTACATGCCACAAGTACATGAGATGGGTACATGCCACAAGTACATGAGATGGGTACATGCCACAAGTACATGACACAAGTACATTAGATGGGTACATGCCACAAATTACATGACACATGCCACAAGTACATGAGATGGGTACATGCCACAAAGTACATGAGATGGGTACATGCCACGCTGTTACAAGTACATGAGATGGGTACATGCCACAAAGTACATGAGATGGGTTACGTACAAGTACAAGTACATTAGATGGGTACATGTCACAAGTACATGACAAGTACATGTCAAGTACATGACACAAGTACATTAGATGGGTACATGTCACAAATACATGCCACAAGTACATGCCACAAGTACATGAGATGGGTACATGCCACAAGTACATGAGATGGGTACATGCCACAAGTACATTAGATGGGTACACATGACGAGTACATGAGATGGGTACATGCCACAACTACATGAGATGGGTACATGCCACAAGTACATGACATGGGTACATGCCACAAGTACATGACACAAGTACATTAGATGGGTACATGCCACAAGTACATGAGATGGGTACATGACACAAGTACATTAGATGGGTACATGCCACAAGTCCATGAGATGGGTACATGACACAAGTACATGAGATGGGTACATGCCACAAGTACATGACACAAGTACATTAGATGGGTACATGCCACAAGTAAAGTACATGACACAAGTACATGAGATGGGTACATGCCACAAGTACATGAGATGGGTACATGCCACAAGTACATGACACAAGTACATGACACAAGTACATTAGATGGGTACATGCCACAAGTACATGACACAAGTACATGAGATGGGTACATGCCACAAGTACATGCCACAAGTACATGAGATGGGTACATGCCACAAGTACATGAGATGGGTACATGCCACAAATTACATGCCACAAGTACAGGATGGGCACATGCCACAGGTACAAGATGGGTACATGACACAAGTACATTAGATGGGTACATGCCACAAATTACAATGGGTACATGCCAGATGGGTACATGACACACAATTACATTAGATGGGTACATGCCACACAGATGGTACAGTACATGCATGAGATGGGTACATGCCACAAATTACATGGTGCAGCCACATTACATGGGGATACATGCCACAAGTACATGACACAAGTACATGAGATGGGTACATGCCACAAGTTCATGGGATGGGTACATGGGTACATGCCACAAGTACATGGGATGGGTACATGCCACAAAGTACATGGGAACATACATGCCACCACAGAGTACATGACACAGAATTACATGATACATGAGATGGGTGCATGCCACATACATGACACAAGTACATTAGATGGGATGCCACAACATGACATGGGGTACATGCCACAAAGTACATGACACACCAATGGGTGCATGACACAAAGTACATGATCGAGATGGGTGGCATGCCACAAGTACATGAGATGGGTACAATGACACAAGTACATGATTGAGATGGGTGCATGCCACAAGTACATACCACAAGTACATGACACGATGGGATGGGTACATGCCACAATTACATGAGATGGGTACATGCCACAAATTACATGCCACAAGCACATTAGATGGGTACATGCCACAAATTACATTAGATGGGTACATGCCACAAGTACATGAGGATGGTGCATGACACAAGTACACGTACATGTAACATTAGATGGGTTCATGCCACAGAAGTACATGATACAAATACATGATCGAGGATGGGTACATGTCACAAGTACACACAAGTCACAAGTACACATGTCTACAATGCACATGCCACAAGTACATGTACACAAGTACATGAGATGGGTACATGCCACAAGTACATGACAGAATTACATGACACACATACATTAGATGGGTACATATGGATTTACATGCCACAATTACATGAGATGGGTACATGCCACAAGTACATGATCGAGATGGGTGCATGCCACAAGTACATGATGAGATGGGTGCATGCCACAAGTACATGGACACATGACACAAGTACATGATTGAGATGGGTACATGCCACAAGTACATGGAGGACACAACATACATAGATTGGTGCACATGGACAAGTACATGAGATGGGTACATGACACAAGTACATGAGATGGGTACATGCCACAAATTACATGCCACAAGATGGATTACATGCCACAAGGTACATGCCACAAGCATTACAAGTACATGCCATGGGTACATGCCACATATCACAAGTACATGCCAGATGGGTACATGCCACAAATTACATGAGAGATGGGTACATGCCACAAGTACATGACACAGATGGAACATGAGATGGGTACATGCCACAAGTACATGATCGATGGACATCAATTACATGAGATGGGTACATGCACACAAGTGCAGATGCCACATTAGATGGGCATGCACCACAAATTACATGACACAAATTACATGAGATGGGCATACATGACCACAAATTACATGAAGTTCATGAGACATGCCACAAGTACACGAGATGGGGGCATGCACGCACAAGTACATGGGATGGGACATATCATACATGCCACAGAGTACCAGAGATAAGTACACGAACAATTACACGAGATGGGTACATGCCACAAATTACATGAGATACATGGTACATCATTACATTAGATGGGTACATGCCACAAGTAATACATGACACACGCCAAGCCACAAGTACATGAGATGGGTACATACACACACATTACATGGATGGGTACATGCTAACACCATACATGATGGATGTGCCACAAATTACATGATGGGTTACATAAGTACATGACGCGTGGGATGGTACATGCCACAAGTGCATGAGATGGGTACATGCCACAAGTACATGATAGGAGGTGGGTACATGCCACATGCCACAAAGTACATGACATGGATGTACATGCCACAAGTACATGAGATGGGTGCATGCCACATGCATGACACAAGTACATACACATGACGCTAATGCCACAAGTACATGATGACACAAGTACATTAGATGGGTACATGCCACAAGTACATGACACAAGTACATTAGATGGGGTTACATGTACATTAGATGGGTACATGCACAGTACATGACACAAGTACATGAGACGCCACAAGTACATGTACATGCCACAAGTACATGCCACAAAGTACATGAGATGGGTACATGCCACAAATTACATGACACATTAGATGGGCATTATGCCAATGGGATGGGTACATGCCACAAGATGGGTACATGCCACAAGTACATGAGAGATGGGTACATGCCCACATGACACAACATGTACATTAGATGGGTACATGCCACAAGTACATTAGATGGGTACATGCCACAAGTACATGCCACATGTACAATTACATGAGATGGGTACATGCCAGATGGGTACATGACCACAAGTACAGTACACAGATGGGTACATGCCACAAATTACATGAGATGGTACATGCCACAAATTACATGAGATGGGTACATGCCACAAGTACATGACACAGAGTACATGAGATGGGAACATGCCACAAGTACATGAGGATGGGTACATGCCACAAGTACATGACACAAGTACATAAGATGCCACAATACATGCCACAATACATGAGATGGTACATGCCACAAATTACATGATACATGAAATTACACATGCCACAAGTACATTAGATTAGATGGGTACATGCACACATGAGATGGGTACATGCCACAAGTACATTAGATGGGTACATGCCACAAGTACATGAGATGGGTACATGACACAAGTACATGAGATTGGTACATGACACAAGTACATGAGATGGGTACATGCCACAAGTACATGACACAAGTACATGACACAAGTACATTAGATGGGTACATGCCACAAGTACATTGAGAGATGGGTACATGCCACAAGTACATGACACAAGTACATGGGATGGGTACATGCCACAAGTTCATGAGATGGGTACATGCCACAAGTACATGAGATGGAAACATGACACAAGTACATGACACAAGTACATAGATCAAGATGGGTACATGCCACAAGTACATGAGATGGGTACATGCCACAAGTACATGACACAAGTACATTAGATGGGTACATGACACAAGAACATGAGATGGGTACATGCCACAAGTACATGACACAAGTACATTAGATGGGTACATTCCACAAGTACATGAGATGGGTACATGGCACAAGTACATGATATAAGTACATGCGATGAGTACATGCCATGAATACATACCATGAGTACATGACATAAGTATATGCCAAAAGTACATGACACTAGTACATGCCCTGAGTATATGCCACAAGTACATGACACTAGTACATGCCATGAGTATGCCACAATTACATGACATTAGTACATGCCATGAGTATATGCCACAAGTACATGACACTAGTACATGCCATAAGTACACGACACTAGTACATGCCATGAGTATATGCCACAAGTACATGACACTAGTACATGCCATGAGTATATGCCACAAGTACATGACACTAGTACATGCCATGAGTATATGCCACAAGTACATGACACTAGTACTTGCCACGAGTACATGCCACAAGTACATGACACTAGTACATACCAGTAAGTTAGCTGGCACCACTTTGCTGTAGTCGACGGCCCCAGTGAGCGCTGTGTGCCCCTCACAGTCACGAGTATTCATGTCAGGCTTGTACTTGAGGATCATTCGGAGAGCTGGCCACTCTTCTTCCTTTTCTTCCCGTAAGCCACAATACTCACAAGATTCAACATCTGCCAGCATTTCAGCCACCGACCATTTTCCTGAGACACAAAGTACTTGCATCTCTCATTCTCCAAAACACTGGTCATTTAAGGTTTCATAAAGAAATAGCCATAAAACTACAATGATCCCAACCCTTCCTGTCAGCTTCCATCCATTTTCCATTCATTCCTGTCAGCTTCCAGCCATCCTATCCATTTCCCAACCATTACTGTCAGCGTCCATCCATTCCACATCCCTTCCTGTCAACATCAAGCCATCATATCCATTGTCCAACCCTTCCTGTCAGCTTCCTTTCATTTCCCATCCCTTCCTGTCAGCATCAAGCCACCCTATCCATTTCCCAACCCTTTCTGTCAGCTTATATCTACTTCCCATCACTTCCTATCAGCTTCCATCCATTCCTAAGCTCTTCCTGTCAACTACCGTCAATCCTATCCATTTCTAATCCCTACCTGTCAGCTCCCGACCATCCTAAACATTTCCCAACCCTTTCTGTCAGCTTACATCTATTTCCCATCCCTTCCTATCAGCTTCCAGCCATTTCCAGTCCCTTCTGGTCTGCTTCCATCCATATGCCATCCATGTCCAAACCCTTCCTGTCAGCATCAAGCCATCCTATCCATTTCCAAACCCTTCATGTCAGCTTCCAGCCCTCTCATCCATTTCCCAACCCTTCCTTTCAGCTTCTAGCCCTCTCATCCATTTCCCATCCCTTCCTATCAGCTTCCAGCCTCTCATCCATTTCCCAACCCTTCATGTCAGCTTCCAGCCCTCTCATCCATTTCCAAACCCTTCATGTCAGCTTCCAGCCCTCTCATCCATTTCCCATCCCTTCCTATCAGCTTCCAGCCTCTCATCCATTTCCCAACCCTTCCTATCAGCTTCCAGCCCTCCCGTCCATTTCCCAACCCTTCCTGTCAGATTTCAGCCCTCTCATCCATTTTCCATCTATTTCCAATGCCTTCCTGTCATCTCCTAGTCATCTCACAGCCATTCAATTCCTCCCCAGGCCTTCTTAAGCCACCCTTACCCCAGTCAGCTTGGTATCTGTCCTCTTCCTTCTCTGGCTTGTCCTCCTCCTTCTCATAACGTTTCTCACATATGATGGCATTCACATCAGACTTCAGTTCGTCAATCAGATACTTGATGAAATCACGTCCACGTTTCCACAACCACCTTCCGGCTGCCTTATCCTCCTTGCTGTCAGATGAACTCAGCTTTTTCTGTTGAAAGCAAAATCATGTCTGACAAACATGAGCATACACAGAATCAAAGTCAAAGTCAAAAGGGTCTCACCAGCCAATTCATTAAGCCATCTCTTTTGACAAGAATAAGTTACTGAGGACTTATATTCTTACACACAGTCCCACAGATGAATCCCTATCCAAGAATAGAACATAAGTTCCCAACACCTACAAACTATTTTGAGTGAGTGAGTGAGTTTGGTTTTACGCCGCTTTTAGCAATATTCCAGCAATATCACGCTGGGGACACCAGAAATGGGCTTAACACATTGTACCCATGTGGGGAATCGAACCCGGTCTTCGGCGTGACGAGGAATGCCTTAACCACTAGGCTACCCCACTGCCCCGCAAACTATTTTGAACACCTTCAAGGACCAAGATAATCAGTAGGGACTGACCATTATTATCCTGGGATGGTATGAGAGTTAAGAGTAGGGGAAGTGAAGGGGGGATTTTAAAATGATTTGACTATAAAGATACCATAAAAGTTTGAAGCACAGTAATGACATTACCTTGCAGACGCTGTACTGTTGACAGGCAGCCAGCAGTGGAGTACTGCCATCATTGCAGAAGGTCTTCGCCATTTCTATGAAAGCTTTCTTCTGTGCTGCATCCTGCATGGAAAGACCACTCATTACATTATGGTATCTTCAGCGTTGAATAAATAGTGTCCATGAGATAATTGTAAGCAAAAATAGGTATAGATCATGGAGGTGAGGTGAGGTGAGTGTGCAGGAAAGGGAGGTGAGTGAGTGAGTGAGTGAGTGAGCAGAGCAGTCCTTCATGGAGTAGAAGTGAGAAGCTCACCTTTGAAACAATGCACTTAAGGACAGCAAGGTAGTCCTTCATGGAGTCCATGTGGTCATAACACAGGGCATGGAGGATGGTGTCCCCCTCTTTGTCCAGGTCTGTAAAGATAGGGCTGCCCTTCTTCAGAAGAAACTCAACTAGCTGAACGTTGCCCTGGGAACAAAATCAACACCAGAGGAATTAGGCTTGTTTACAATGAGACGACAAATCAAAATATCTGGAATGGGTGAGGACATAAATGTTGTATCACAAAACATTAGCTCCAGCTATGTACGGAGTAAACGTTCCACACAGTGGAGTTATATAAACATAAGCTTTTCACAGTATCAGTGGCCTTCCCTTAGGTGTTCAGGAATCTATCATAGCGAGATGAATTCTCAAATCTGCCCTAATTATGAATGATGGTGTGGTTTATGATTGTGGCGGTCGTCCGTAAATAATCGAGCCTGGAACAGACAATCCAGTGATTAACAGCATGAGCATCAATCTACGCAACTGGGATACGATGACATGTGTCAACCAAGTCAGCAAGCCTGACCACCTGATCCCATTAGTTGCCTTTTACAACAAGCGTGGATTGCTGAAGATCAATTCTAACCTGGATTTTCATGGGTAAAAGCATGATGAGACACACAGAGCCCAGACATACATTGAGACCACCACACTTTCACTGGTTAGGCCTTGGAACAAGTGTGGCTACTTGGCGTTTCCCAGAGGTGAACTGTCTCTGGAGACAATTCTTTGTGTTCGGAAACCTCATATGTATATCAAGACTTTGCAGAAATAATACATTTATGAAAAATCAGGTAAAATAGGAAATGCTTTACTCATGGCAGAAACAAAAGGATAGAGTCTAAAAGAAAGAAAACGAACTTGATAAGTCGCAAGTAATTCAATTATTAGATTTTCACCCAACAAGCTAAAACACAGGAATACAGCAGTTCACCTAGAAATGTAGTGATCAGTAAAACTGTCAAAAAAGATACCTTCAAGATATTGAAAATTGAACTCAGGACAAACAGGCTATGATTTAAGCTCAGGTGAACTAAAAATGTGGAGGGAGGTATTTTGATTTGTATTTTGTTATTTTGTATTCTCTTAGCATTTTCTTGGTACTAAAATTTAATGATGTGATGTCAAAGCAAAGATTATAACAAATAATTTATTAAAGCCTGTCTTACAGCTCTCATAGCTGCCATGACAGCCGACACTTTGTTCTTATCGACAGCCTTTGGATCACAGCCATTTTCCACCAGCAACTTGGCAATCTTCACACTTGTCTCCATCGCCTCATCACTTGGCTCTGGTGTCTGCAGTAACAACATTGAGACATGGCATACATTCAGGTACAAACCATATGCATAAACTGACCCAAGTCTTAGTCATAGGTCTAATATGGCAACAAACATACAGGTGACAGATGATTTTATAATGCAGCCTGCAAAGAAAGGAGCCTGGGCATAAGCAACTATCATTGTTGTCAGGGTAGGAAGACATGAAATTATTCAGGTGACATTTAGTTTCCTTCAGACCTGATGTTGTCAGGGTAGGAAGACATGACATTATTCAGGTGACATTTAGTTTCCTTCAGACCTGATGTCAAGGTAGTAAGACATGTCCTTTTGCTGGTGAGATTTAGTTTCCTTCAGACCTGTTGTTACCAAGGTTGGAAGACATGACATTATTAGGTGACATTTAGTTTCCTTCAGACCTGGTGTTATCAAGGTAGTAAGACATGACATTATTCAGGTGACATTTAGTTTCCTTCAGACCTGGTGTTATCAAGGTAGTAAGACATGACATTATTCAGGTGACATTTAGTTTTTCCAGACCTGATGTTGTCAAGGTAGTAAGACATGACATTATTCAGGTGACATTTAGTTTCCTACAGACCTGATGTTGTCAAGGTAGTAAGATATGTCGTTAGACAGGGGATGTTTAGTTTTCTTCAGACCTGGTGTTATCAAGGTAGTAAGACATGACATTATTCAGGTGACATTTAGTTTCCTTCAGACCTGGTGTTATCAAGGTAGTAAGACATGACATTATTCAGGTGACATTTAGTTTCCTACAGACCTCCAAGGTCAGACCACAGGTGATGTTTAGTTTGACCTGGGTATCAAGGTAGGAAGACATGACATTTTTCAGGTGACATTTAGTTTCCTACAGACCTGATGTTGTCAGGGTAGGAAGACATGTCCTTTTGCTGGTGAGATTTAGTTTCCTTCAGACCTGTTGTTACCAAGGTTGGAAGACATGACATTATTCAGGTGACATTTAGTTTCCTTCAGACCTGGTGTTATCAAGGTAGTAAGACATGACATTATTCAGGTGACATTTAGTTTCCTTCAGACCTGATGTTGTCAGGGTAGTAAGACATGCCATTTCACAGGTGACATTTAGTTTCCTTCAGACCTGAGGTTGCCAGGGCAGTAAGACATGTCATTATGCAGGTGACATTTAGTTACCTTCAGACCTGGTGTTATCAAGGTAGTAAGACATGACATTATTCAGGTGACATTTAGTTTCCTTCAGACCTGGTGTTATCAAGGTAGTAAGACATGACATTATTCAGGTGACATTTAGTTTCCTACAGACCTGATGTTGTCAAGGTAGTAAGACATGACATTATTCAGGTGACATTTAGTTTCCTACAGACCTGATGTTGTCAAGGTAGTAAGATATGTCGTTACACAGGGGATGTTTAGTTTCCTTCAGACCTGGTGTTATCAAGGTAGTAAGACATGACATTATTCAGGTGACATTTAGTTTCCTTCAGACCTGGTGTTATCAAGGTAGTAAGACATGACATTATTCAGGTGACATTTAGTTTCCTTCAGACCTGGTGACCTGAGGTGTTGTCATGGGTAGTAAGACATGCCATTTCACAGGTGACATTTAGTTTCCTTTGAGGTTGCCAGGGCAGTAAGACATGTCATTATGCAGGTGACATTTAGTTTCCTTCAGGGCAGTAAGACATGACATTATTCAGGTGACATTTAGTTTCCTTCAGACCTGGTGTTATCAAGGTAGTAAGACATGACATTATTCAGGTGACATTTAGTTTCCTACAGACCTGATGTTGTCAAGGTAGTAAGATATGTCGTTACACAGGGGATGTTTAGTTTCCTTCAGACCTGGTGTTATCAAGGTAGTAAGACATGACATTATTCAGGTGACATTTAGTTTCCTTCAGACCTGGTGTTATCAAGGTAGTAAGACATGACATTATTCAGGTGACATTTAGTTTCCTTCAGACCTGATGTTGTCAGGGTAGGAAGACATGACATTTTTCAGGTGACATTTAGTTTCCTACAGACCTGATGTTGTCAGGGTAGGAAGACATGACATTATTCAGGTGAAATTTAGTTTCCTTCAGACCTGATGTTGTCAAGGTAGTAAGATATGCCTTTACACAGGTGACACTAACAAAAAGACCAAATCATTTCACCATCTTATACAAATTTCCTTTCATATCATCCAATGGAGACTTGTCAGGTTTACTATTTTGAAACCGGGAAGATGTTACTAATTCTTTTATTAATGCACTAATTATGGAATATGTGTTCTAGATCAAAATAGGGTTAATTCATTGAAAGGTGGAAAAACAATACCCACAACCCTAAGATGGATGCCGCATCCTTTCAAGGGGCATTATAATCAAAATGATGTATTTGTTTGCATCTTGAAAAGATATATGGAGAAAAACGTAATGTTTGGCCTGGAGAACTCTGATAATTTACCCAGGATACCACCATGCACTTTAACTCCCACCTCCCATCAGGTTTCTACCCAGTAACCATGGTAACTCACTGCCTGTGTGCCCTCCAGAAGGATGTCATTTCGGGCCAGATGATGAAGCTGCAACAGAACAGACAGCACATTACTTCTGTTGTTATAACAATGTATAGAGAGGAATGGAAGATTACATTTGTGGCTGAATCACTAACCTAACAGACAGACTGCCTATTTGCATCCTAGAATCATTACCTCCATACTTTGATCTCATATTAAAGACAACTTCTTATGGAAATCAAGGTCAAGTCCCAGGACTGTATAAGCAAAATTGCAAGAGTAATAGGTAATGCATGACACAGAAATTTGCCACAGGGGGGTAAGGATAGCCTAGAGATTAAAGCGTTTGCTCATCATGCTGAAGATTAGTGTTTGATTCTTCACATGGGTGACCTTTTATAGATATGCCAAGAAAGTTTCATGTGGTAGGGTTTGTAAAGATACATGCAACCATAAAGCTTCATGTCTACAGAAGTACTCATGCCACGGAAACTGACAATGCAAGGACCAAAACCTGACATGTCTAGATCCATAGTTACATGCAAGTGTTTACAACTCACAGGTGTGCAACCTTCAACATCCACAAAGGTGCAACGAGCTGCCTTGTCTTTCACCAGGTAAACCATCTGGTCGTACAGGTCTGGGTAAAGGGCGCTGGAGGCAGCTGTAGACACCAAGGTCATTCCTGAAACAGAGAGTTATACATGGAATAAATATATCACTGTCAATAACTTACAACTGTGACTGCAGAAAAAACTTATAAAATACTTAAAATGCATATTCCAATACTAACATTATTACAGCATGTACTACATGCATATGTAACATTTTGTTTGGTTGGTTTGTAATGTAACGCTGCACTAAGCAATATTCCAGCTACATGGTGTTGGTCTGTAAATAGTCACGTCTGGACCAGACAATCTAGTGATCAACAGCATGAGCATCAATCTACGGAATTGGGATATGATGACATGTGTCAACCAAGTCAGCGAGCCAGTCCACCCGATCCCTTTAGTCGCCTTTTACGACAAGCATGGGTTCCTCAAGACCAATTCTAACCCATATCTTCACAGGTTATGTAACATGTAGTAGTGAGTGAGTGAGTATGGTTTAATGCCGCTTTTAGCAATATTCCAGCAATATCACAGTGGGGGACACCAGAAATGGGCTTCACACATTGTACCCATGTGGGGATTCAAACACTGGCCTTGAGCGTGAGGAGCAAACGCTTTAACCATTAGGCTACCCAACTGTCCCGTAACATGTAGTAGTCATTAGAAGCATCGATGACAGCTGAGGTCACATTAAAACAAACTATTTAACACAGCAGTCCTGTTTTCTCAGGCCAATAACTTAGTTGAATTCAGAACAGAAATCTTTACCATGATACACCCTACTTGAATATAAGCATGATGCACACTTAACATAATCGACTCAAAGCTCAGAGAAAGAGAAATCAGTGATTAATATTAAGTGCAAAGTTCCACACTATCAGTGCATAATGAGGTGTACCACCCTCAGCATCAACAAAGGCGTAATCAGCTGTCCTTGTCCTTCACCAGATAAACCATCAGTTCATACAGAATGCATTGTTTAGTGCCGCACTCAACAATATTCCAGTTATTTTATAACATACAGGTTAATAATTGAGCAAGGACTAGAGAAATCATTGGGTCATATAAAGTGAAAGTCCCACATTTAACCAATTCACAAAGCCAGGCCAGCCATTCCAGTTAGTAACTTGTTACAACAAGCATGGCTTTCTGGGAACCTGGCATATGAAGAACTGGTCTTCAGCTACTCCTGTTTTGTTGTAAGAGGCAACTAACAACATTTTGTGGTCAGGCTCAATGGTTGATTTATGTCTTCATACCCAAACTGCCGAGATCGATGATCATTATGTCAATCACTCATTTGTCTCAGCTCCAGAATTGACTTTTTACAGACAGCTGGATAGTGCTTGCTAAGTGCAGCATTAAACTACAAACAAACAAATTTTGGGAATCAATTCTAAACCAAAATTACCATAGAGATCTCAATACACAAATTCAGTGTCAAAGTGAAAGTCAATTCTCAGTTATCTTAGTAATTCCCTGGCCTACCTTGGTCATCCTGGAAGTCAACATCAACGTCAGATTTTGTCAGCAGCAGACTGACAATGCCAAAATGGCTCTTCATGTAGGCGATGGAGAGAGGTGTGGTCTGAAGAAGACAAAACAGACTTCTGATCATCAGTGAATGATCCCTTTTTTATAGTGGTGGTTCGATTAATTGAAATAATCGAAGATTGGTTGCAGTGACTAAACGACCAAGCAATTGATCAAACAATTTTGGAACACTTGTTTGCATTGACAACATTTTTTAACAAGGTTGGTTTTGTCTGTCATTAAATTTACATTTCATAAGCACTACGAGCTCGTTCCAAGTCATGATCAAATTTATCTTAAAGACTCAAGGATATACACCTCACAATTAATCACTTAGACCAGAGTTACAATATATAACAGCCTATGAGGTATCAACTCCCTCTACTTAGACCAGAGTTACAGTATATAACAGTCTATGGGTTATCAACTCCCTCCAGTTATACCAGAGTTACAGTAGCTAACAGCCTATGGGTTATCAACTCCCTCCAGTTATACCAGAGTTACAGTATATAACAGCCTATGGGTTATCAACTCCCTCTACTTAGACCAGAGTTACAGTATATAACAGTCTATGGGTTATCAACTCCCTCCAGTTATACCAGAGTTACAGTATATAATAGTCTATGGGTTATCAACTCCCTCTACTTAGACCAGAGTTACAGTATATAACAGTCTATGGGTTATCAACTCCCTCCAGTTAGACCAGAGTTACAGTAGCTAACAGCCTACAGGTTATCAACTCCCTCCAGTTATACCAGAGTTACAGTATATAACAGCCTATGGGTTATCAACTCCCTCTACTTAGACCAGAGTTACAGTATATAACAGTCTCTGGGTTATCAATTCCCTCCAGTTATACCAGAGTTACAGTTTATAACAATCTCTGGGTTAGACTGACTGACTGACTGAGTTTAGTTTTACGCCGCTTTTAGCAATATTCCAGCAATATCACGGCGGGGGACACCAGAAATGGGCTTAACACATTGTGTTCTGGGTTAGATAAGATAAGATAAGACATGTCTTTATTGTCCAAAAGGAAATTTCTATTGCACATTTTCAGTTCTCCATTCATAAAAATAATATAAATACATTTGAAATAACAAAATCAGCTTATAACTAGTGCATAAAATCATATAATGATACACTAGTTACATGATGATTTTGTTATCAACTGCCTCAAGTTATACCTGAGTTACAGTATATAACAGCCTCTGGCTTATCAACTCACCTTCCAGTCATTGCCTACATTGACATCTGCTCCTGCACCAAGCAGAGACTCTACACAGAAGTACCAGCCGTACGCTGCAGCATACATGATGGGGGAGTTGCCGGAGTTGTCACACAGGTTGGGGTTGCAGCCAATGTTTAGTAGGAAGGACAAGACATTTGTGTTCCCATTCATTGCAGCATGGATTAGGGCTGTTCTGCCCAGACGGTCTGAGAACATTTCAGGGTAAGAGTTCACTCCTCAGTCAACTCCACTTTGTAATTTCCATGATCAATATTAAAAAAATAATGCCTTCTGCTTCATTTCTTTCAACTACAAATAAATGGTTTCCATATTGCATGTCAAGTAAATGTAGTATAGCTTTCTTTGTCATTTATTTGAGAATGTTTTAAAAAAAAAAGACCCAAAAAGGATCTTGACCTGTCCACTGATTGGATATTTAGCCTTCAATCCAAATGACCTCACCTTTCCGCTGCACAACTGCCCCATGTTCCACCAGGAAGTTCAGTGTATCCTGGAAGCCGAACTGAGCGGCCATCATGAGAGGCGTGACTTTGAAGCGAGAAGTGTTCAGTGGCACATCTACCTTGGCTCCATAACTGACAAGCACTTCAACAATTTCCTGCAACAAACAGCAGAAGCAGTGTATAAAAATTTCCAATATGCACAAAGTGAGATGAGAAAGTCTTTGAAGAGTATTTTAACAAGCATGACATAAGAGAAATGCATAACTTCACACAGTTGCTTGGAAGAACACCTCTCACAAGTCCGATATTGAAAGTGTAAAGCTTGGACTTCAACCAACCAGCAGATCCATCATAACTAGGGGACAGAATTCAACAAATACCATTCATCCTTGGAGATATCATTTTAATGGAGATGCAAAAAATTTGAATGGTGACTTACCACATAGCCTTTCTCTGTCGCCATATGCATTGGCGTGTACGAGGCCTTGTTTGGCCGATTGAGACCTCCAACCCCAAAGCGCAAGAAGATTGGATCATCGTCACTCATACCTGAAAATAAAACCACAGTCACATATACATTTCTTGACGGTTTCTCACTTTCTTACACTTGTTAACCTTTCATAAGGACATGCTGATTGTCTTGGAGGAGTGCAACTGTGTCTGCATGCTTGGAAATAGTTAGAGATGCCATACAGTATTTGAAGCGGCATTGCATCCAACATTTTCTAGTTTTATGACACGTTTACATGTTAAAAAGTAGTGGGCAGAGACATTACCAACAGCTAATTTTTAAAGTAAAAAGTAAAATTTCTTCCAATAACCAAAGAAGATTGATTGGCCACATGTGCAGTCCATTCTTTCCACCATGTGCTACCTCAACCTAGATGAAAGTTACATCAGTTGTAAGTCAAATGATATCTTCAGAAGCAGAATTAGATCTGGTCAAATACTTTAACAGATAGCTGGGAATAATTATTAGAATGATATGAACAACAAGTCTCAACCAGTCATTTGGGGTCATTTTAATGTGTTTATCAAGTCACACGTGTGATGTTCTTTCCAGTTGTCATAACTGTACACTTCTAATCATGCTTAAGAGGAATGGAGTGAAACAGACATCTTACTTTAACTTGTTTGGAGAAATAAAATTTGTAAGGCAAAAATGAACTGAAATCAGTTCCAGTAAACAAAAACACCTCATGTGCTCAAAAAAGACTCTTACTCAAGAGTAAGTCTTACTCAAACACACCACATGGCCGCAATAAAACACATGCTCACAATAAATCACAAGCACAATAAGACACAAATATGCTTCCAACAAAACCCAAACACACATGCTTCAAATAATGCACTAACACACCATATTCTTCAAACCAAACATTAACACACCATAAAGCACAAACACACCACATGCTTGCCCAAAAACACAAGCACAATAAGACACAAACATGCATTCATCAAAACACAAATACACATGCTTTAAATAATGCACCAACACATCATATACTTCCAACAAAACATTCACACACCATAAAGTACAAACACACCACATGCTTTCAATTAAACACAAACACACATACTTCAAATAACACAAGTACACACATGCTTTCAACATGACACACGCTACAAATGGAACACAAGCACAACATAACCTTCTAATAAAACACATGCTTGCAATAAAACACAAACACACATACTGACAAAATGACACAAACACACCACATGCTTCAAATAACACACTTACATACAATATGTTTCCTGTAAAACAGTATAATATCCTGTTGTTTTATATGATCAAACACATAACCTTACCGAGACCAATTTGACAGTTGTTCCCTTACCACACATACTACATAGTCACAAATACAACTCTGACTCACTTTTTTGCTTCTTGCAGGAGATACTTCACATTTTTAACTCTGTTTGCGCGAACTGCAAAGTGTAGAGGAGTCTCTCCCTTGTGGTCACAGTCATACATATTGGCCCCCCTAAAACACATGATGTTCAATACTGGAACAGGATACAAGCCATCATATGTATCATAACACATTGATTTTGAAAATGTGTCCAGATTGTGTGAATGTTATCTAATTCTGATACTAAGAGAGTTTGTTTCAACACAACCTTATGCAACATATCACTTATATCATGGCATGTCTGCTTAATTCCTTGATGATGCTCCATACCTCTATTCTCTAATGATAGTAGACCATTTGCCATTATAACTTCATTGTGAATCAGAGAGTCAAATGACACTTTAACAATAGCAGTCCAATCAAATTCCCTGATAAAAACAAGTGGTAACATCACCAGTTCTCCACTTGGTTAGCTGTGTGACAGGCTCTGGTACAAAGATATCCAGGAAAACATAGTCTACATTTATAACAGTCTTCTGGTTCCATAAAATATATCACTTGTTGTTCTTGTAGCAGCAGTATATTCCTCTTGGAGGCGTGGGGTCTTTCTACACCCCAGTGTCACGCGACAGGGTATGAACGCTATCATTGTGTCATATGTATAAAGTTATTATGTTATTCACATAGTTGATGGATTTTATGTATTATGTACAAACATCGTTCACCATAATGTGTACGTTGGTACGCATTTGATTTGAACGTTATTCTAATACCAAGGAGTTACCGTTCTTGGTGGTTCAGTCAACGTGTTAATGGCTATGTACCTATTACCACAACAACATTATATAATGTGCACCTGTTGACATTAATTGATATTACACTCATTTCTAATGTTAGAAATGATATAAGAGATTCAATGATTGTATATATTTATCTATATTTACATGTTTGCCCTTAACTTGGCACTTATTTTGTAAACATGTGTTTCAGGGTGTCTGTCAATAAAGAATAGATCTCACAACCCGTAATCAGTGTCTGGTCCTCAGTATTCCCATTCACGTCCCGGTTACATAATGGAGCCTTTGGAGGTATACATAAGGTCTGCGTGGTCACATTTGAGATGTGTACATTTACAATCTCTGGCCTTGAACTATTGTAAGTGATGAGTGTTGGAGCAACATCAATATCTGCCGGTAGTGATGACCTGTGGGTAGGCTGAAGAAGTGCACAAATTCCTGGCGATGTCAATCCCTTCGTGATCCGACCCTTTATGATAACATTACTATTTGGAGGAATGATCATATTCTGAGTCTCAGTGCTCCTGACTAAAACCAAGACGCCATCCATTGTGCACTAACTCTTTCTCTCTGAGTGCAATGCTTCTGTAGGCCAAGTACCAAGGTGTATGTAAATCTGCCCTCTGTAGGAATTTTGGTCCATGGAGTTGCCTACATTCATCCAAAGACATTGCAAAACATTGGTACCCAGCAAGGCAGGGACACGTGGCATTATACCTTGTTTCAGGAACAACCAAGAGTAGACTGGAGACAGGATTTTGAGGGCTGATACCTCCACCTGTAAGGATAATATTAACTTGTATATATCCCCTGATATGGAAGTGACTGACCACCAAAGCACATCTGATGTCCAAAATATCTCCAATGGGTTCAAGCGCAATGTGCTGCAATGAGATTTGTAAAGGTCTCTCAGAGACAATTGACACAGTAGCTCCTGTGTCCACTAATGCTTGTATCGGGCACTCCTTCAATTACAATCTCAACTTCATTACTGTTGCCAACTAATCCATCTGGTACTGTAGGCGTGATGAACAACCTAAGGGCGGTGCCCCTTCCCATAGGCCTCTGGGCCAGTTTAAAGGATGACGTAGGTGATCAAGTCTCACTCTGCATCCCCGAGCAATATGACCTGGGTAACCACACCTAAAACATCTAGGCAACCCCCTTCATTAGTGTTGTTCACAGTGTCCTCTCTCTGGTGGAGAGACATATCCAGTTGTTCCTTGTGTTGAATAAGGATGCATCCCTGATGCTTGTAGGTCAGTTCCATATGGCTGTTCATTGGTGACATCAAAACCTGGATGTGTAGAAAGAAATGGCTTGGATTGTGAACCAGTGTATGCTGGAGATTTTCCTTTGCCTCCACTTCTGATACTTTTCTCTCAGGTCTGTGGGATGATTGACTCTGGGGTTTGAGAAACCGGGGTGTACTTGGGATGGCTGAGTTGAAACCCGGCGCTGGTAAACTTTGGACCCCTGATGTTGGCACCTGAGCTCTGCAATCTCTGCTCCTTATTTCCTTCACCATTTCCTTCAAGTCAAGAACTTCTTGCTTTGAAGCCGCCCTCAGCACTATCTGAAGTGAAAGCCATTTTAGCCGTAGCTGACTTTTTTCTGCCGTGGGCTTGTTTCTGTTAAGGTCAACCCACTTCTCGCAGACAAAGACGCAGTTCATCGAAATTAGAAATGACCTCATATTTGTGCGCAGCCAAGCTTTTCAACCAGGCTTGAGCCCATCCCACATTTTGCCCTAGCATCTCATCCTGTTCGATCCAAGGTTAAGTGGCGCTGCTCTGATATCTGATACATAAGGTTCTCAAGGCGACATCCCCATGCCCAATAACATCCTCATCTTCCTTCTGAGATGCACCATAAAACTGTGACATAAGACTCTCTCCTTCCTCCTAAGTGTACCGAATGCACCCCTGATCTTTAGCCAATATATCCCTCTGTGCTTGCTTTATGGCCTAGTTTCACGGATATTAAAGCCGCTTCTCCTTTGGAGAGATTTCCGATAGCCTGTAAGACAACTTCAACGTATGAGTCTTTGACTGTAGAAGACAGTCAACTTCATATCTCCACAAAATCATATGTAGCATCCTTGTTCGTCTCCACCAAATATATAGGAAGCCCAGGGAAGTGATGGTAACTTTCAGTTGAGCTTGTCCCAGGATCTCGTGGGATCATTGTCTCAAGTGAGGATCTTTGAAAATATCCACACGTCCATCTAAAGGTAGAACTAATTTCAAGTATTGCCAAATTGTAATAAGTCGGTTATTAGTGTTATTAGTGCTGGATCAATGTTCTTTCATGATAATAAAAGGTTAGGTATGTTGTGTAATTGAAAGCCAGTAAGTAGATATCTTCCAGTGACATAGTATCTGCGATCATGATAAAACTTATGATACTTTGTTTATTTGAATGATGTTTATGCATAGGTTATTTATTGTGCATTATAACCATGGCGCTTTTTGCATTGCACTACGACGAACATTGATTGATCCTTGATTGATTTCGTATTGACCTAATGTTGATAGCCATAGTTGTCAGTAATGATAACCATGTTATTGATTGTTGCATACATACATATATTTAGAATGGCTGAGATTTTGTTTTTGTTTCTGTAGCAGCAGTATATTTCTTGGAGTGAAATATTCTACGCCAGCAACACGCTATCAGGGTATGAACGTTATCATTATTGTCCATATGCATAAAGTTATTATACATTCATTATGAGTTGATGGATTTTATGTATGTACAAACACGTCATCATATGTAATGCTGGGTTTTATCGCATGTTGAACGTTGTTTTCATTGCTCAGTGGTTTGACCAGTCGCAGTTAATCGGTTATGTCGTTTATTGTAACAACAGGTTTATATCAGTAGCGATTCTGCCGACATACTGTTACTACTTCACTGTTGCTTAATGATTGTACGAAGAGATTCAACGATTGTATATATTTATCTATAGTTTACATAGCTGTTTCTCATATTCGGCATGAACATAGTTAGTGGTAAACCAGTCATAAAGCACAGTTCGAATCATGCTCGGTCTCAGTAATCCTTAATCCTCGCCGCCACTATGTAACAGGGACGCGAATGGGAATACTGAAGACCAGACACTGACACGGGTTGTGAGATCTATTCTTTATTGACAGACACCCTTGAAACACATGTTTACAAAATAAGTGCCAAGTTAAGGGCAAACATGTAAATATAGATAAATATATACAATCATTGAATCTCTTATATCATTTCTAACATTAGAAATGAGTGTAATATCAATTAATGTCAACAGGTGCACATTATATAATGTTGTTGTGGTAATAGGTACATAGCCATTAACACGTTGACTGAACCACCAAGAACGGTAACTCCTTGGTATTAGAATAACGTTTCAAATATCGTCGTACTAACGCATTACATTATGGTGAACGGTGTTGTACATAATACATAAAATCCATCAACTATGTGAATAATATAATAACTTTATACATATGACACAATGATAACGTTCATACCCTACAGCGTGACACTGGGGTGTAGAAGAGCCCACGTCTCCAAGAGGAATATACTGCTGCTACAAGAACAAGCAAACCAAAGTCTCAATATTCTAAATATGTATGTATACAAATCACAACAATCAATAGCTATGGTTCGGTATCGACGTGAACCATGTGTAAGTCACATTAGGTCATACCCAAAATCAATCACACATTCAATCATTCTGCATCGTAAGTATAATGCAAACAAGTGCCATGGTTATAATGCACAATAAATAACCTATGCATAAACATCATTCAAATAAACAAAGTATCATAGTTTTAAGCATGATCGTTATTTACTATATCACTGCAAGATTGTCTACTTACCTTGGCATAATATTTACAATTGCACAAATATACTTTAACCTATTTTATTATCATGAAGAACATTTAATTAGCACTAATAACATTGTTATTTAGTACAACATATATAAAATACTTGAAATATTGTTCCTACCTTTAGATCGGACGTGTTAGTTGTTTTATGCTCTGAACTGCGATCGGATTGAAGTGAAGTGCAATGGCTGACGTGCAAGTAATGTTTAGTGTTTTAAAAGAACCAATCAACACAAGGGGCCAAGCAAGTCAAAGGGCACAATCTCTTGACACCCCTTATACCCGTAATGGACTAGGCAAGATCTTAAAAAATAACCATAGACTAACGCTTAAAATGATACTGCTTGGCGCTAAAACTATAAACAATGACAACTTCAATCCTAACCAAACCTTTACATGACTTCATACCTGCCACACACTTCCTCCCCAACAAATGATGTCCCCTATCATTATAATTTACCAGTGACAACACCCAGAATAGCCTCAGTTAGCTTCTCTGGCTGGTGAGCAAACATTGCCCCAGAGGCAAGAGAATTGAGATAATCGCCTCACCAACCAGTTCAGTGGGGAAGCTACCGCAGAGAGAACATACCCCACTCCGCAGATCCATCTCGGTTGAACTCGGTTCGCCTGAGCGCCGTGGAACTGGAGTTGGCATTTCCTTTCTGCTGGCTGATTATTCTCTTCATCAGATACTTCATTTCTGAAATACGCCACCCGCAGCTGATGTCTGATCCGGGCTGACCAGTATCTTCAGACGCACTTCCTCCCTCTCATCATGGACAGCACTAGCCTTCATCATTACCACCGCTGTCTGTTCAGTTGGCCCATCCACTGATGAATCAGTGAACACTGGAGCATGATATGAATAGGAGTAAATGTCCCAGTCTTGTCCATCTGAAGAACTTTCATCATCCCAGCGATATCTCTGATGTGGCTTTCTAGGGATGTTGATGATCTTTCCGGGTGTTAGGATCACTTGTTCAAGCGCTAGGGTTACTAGCCTTGGTGTTGGAACAGGTGGTTCCAAGTTAGGAATGTAGCCAACAGGCAACAGAAGATTTCGATGAAGTGTCTTCTTCCTTCCCAGAATTTTTCTTTGCACAACTGTGAAAACAGGAATAGATGGATTAGGTTGATTCACAACAATATACATCGCCATCTTCCCATTTGTTAGGCCAGCTTGTGTCAGTCCTCAGCAGAAGGCTACTAATCTTTTACAAGGACTCTATCTCCTAGACCTCGAAAGCTATTGCAGCACGAGCCTTTGATCGTAATTTGATTTCTGTTTGGACTGAGCCTTCTTTGCTGATGCAGATGCCAATTCATATGCTTGCTTCCAAACGCTCCCTGAGGGACTTGGTGTATTCAGAAATAGATCTGGATTTTCCTGGCTCTATGTCCAATCCAAAGCTAAATCGACAGGTAATTCTAGGGAGTCTTCCGAACATCAAAAGAATGGAGATGCTGATGTTGTCTCATGTCTTACACAATTGTAGGCATGTACCAAGGGACCTATATGGGCTTTCCACCTCTTTCTGGTCGGGATCCAGAGTGCCTGAAGCATGTTACTTGTAGAGTGTTCGATTGAGGTTACCGCGACATACCATTGCCCATGGGATGGTAATGGGCGTGGTTTGGGACTTCTCAATTTTCAACAGTTGGCACAGTTCCTGCATCACTTTACCAGTGAAATTAGCTCCCTTGATCTGAATGTATCCTTGGTAGTCCATAGTGAATGACAAAATTTTGTGAAGAAAGTTTCAGCAGTTGTTTTGGCTGACATGTTTCTTGCTGGATATGCTTGGGCATATCTGGTAAAGTGATCAGTTACAACTAGAACATGCTCCAATCCACCTTTTTGATGGTTCCAACGCCAAGAAATCCATACATACAAGTTCCAAAGGTGCTGATGTCTGGATGTTTACCATTGAGCTCGCTTGTTGGTGTTTCCTTCAAGACAGCTGCTCACAATTTTGCAAGTGTGCTTCAACATCATTTGACATCGCAGGCCAGTAGAATCTATCCCTCAAAAGTGCTAAAGTTCTATCTCTACCTGATGTCCAACGTTATCATGTAAACTGGGCGCAGTGCTGCAGTGCGACATTTCATCGGGTAGAACCAACTGTTCTCGGTCTTCTCCATCTACAGTGGTAATTCTATAGAGAACTCCCCTCTTCATTTGGAATTGGATAAAGCATTTCAATAATGATTTCACTTCAGGATCATTGATGTACTGCATCCTATTTGCAGATGTGCCATTTCTCAAGTGTTCTAGGATTATCCTAAGAGATGAATCTTGGCTTGAGCTCTCCTCCATTCCCTTGCATTCAGCTCGCGACTGATCATCCTCAAGTCCGTGATCCTCTCAATTGTATTCATGAGAAGCACAGACTTTCAACCAAACTTGAGACATGGATGGTATCACAAATGGCTCTCACAGATTCCTGAGATATTTGCTCATCTTCAACATAATCCCGATGATCTGGTAAGTAGATAATGCGCCCAAGATCAATATTAGGCCTTTCCTGACGTACTTGATACTGAAGTTGTAGTTTGCTAGTGCAGCCAACCACCTATGCCCAGTTGCATCGAAATGAGCACTGGTAAGTACATAGGTTAAAGGGTTGTTATCAGTGAACACAACAAAATCATGCCCATACAAATAGTCATGGAACTTTTCTGAGATGGACCATTTCAAACACAAAACTCAAGCTTATGTGCTGAATAGTTCCTCTCAGAACGCCCTAATGCTCTACTTGCATAGGCAATGACACGCCAGATTGCCATTCTGGAGTTGATAATAACACTGCACCCAAACATGTGTACTTGCATCAGTATGGAGTTCAAAGGTTGTGAATAGTCTGCATAGCCTAGTACAGGAGGGGAACACAGGCGGTGCTTTAACTCACTGAATGCTTCTTCCTGTTTTGGGGCCCCAGATCCAGCTCTTGATCCTTGGATGGTTGTCAGATTTCTTCAAGCAGATTTGGGCATAAGCTCAGAGAGGCCTTGAAATCTTTGAAAAGTCCTTGATGAATTTGGCGATAGTAACCTCCAAATCCAAGAAATCTTCTGACTTCCCTCTGGATTAGAAGGTGTTGGCCAATGTCTTATCTTGTCAATCTTGTCCGATCAGCTTCAATCCCAGCTTCAGATACTGATATAATCTTCCTACATATCGAACCTTTCGCTTAAAAAATTTACATTTCTTTGGGGCAAGCTTTAAGCCACATTCTTTGAGACTGACACGAAAAACAAGTTGTAGCCTCTCAAGAGTGTTCCTCATAGGTCCTGGAAAATATGATAAGGTCATCGAGGTAGATGAGGCATATTTTGGAGATGGAGACCCTCTAGGCATTCTTCCATGAGTCGCTGATAGGTAGCCGGGTGTTTGATAATCCAAATGGCATTCTGTTGTATTCAAAGAACCCGAGCGTCCAATGGTAAATGCTGTACGAGACTTGTGGTCTTCTCCTCGATTTCAACTTGGTGGTACCCGCTCTTCATATCTAGTACTGAAAGTACTTCATACCACCAAGACAATCCAATAGCTCTTTTCAATCCTGGCAAAGCGTATGAGTCCTTGATGGTACGCTTTATTCAGCTGGCGCGATAATCAACACATCCTTAGTCGACCGTCCCGTTTTGGTAACCAGTACAATGTTGGAAGCCCAAGGGCTGTACGGATTCTAATAACCCCAGCAGATAAGAGCTGCTGTAGGTGACTCATAACTTCCTCATACATAGTAGGAGGTATGAATGATGCCGCTGTTTGAATGGTCTATTATCCGTGAGTTCTATTCGATGATGAACCATTGAAGATTGTCCAATATCCTCCTCATTCTTTGAAAATATATCCTGAAATCTCATGATCATATCCAGTCCATGTTTAATCTCCTCCTCTGATAATCCTTCCTTATCAATATCTATCTGATCCAATAACACATCTGCTTCAACAGGTAGGCATTTGGGTGAATCATGTATGGTTACTGGTTGAAGTTCACAGAGAAGAGCCTCACTGAGGGCTCCATTATGTAACCGGGACGTGAATGGGAATACTGAGGACCAGACACTGATTACGGGTTGTGAGATCTATTCTTTATTGACAGACACCCCTGTGCGTGACACTGGGGTGTAGAAGAGCCACGCCTTCAAGAGGAATATACTGCTGCTACAAGAACAAGCAAACCAAAGTCTCAATATTCTAAATATGTATGTATACAAATCACAACAATCAATAGCTATGGTTCGGTACTGACGTAACTATGTGTAAGCCACATTAGGTCATACCCAAAATCAATCACACATTCAATCATTCTGCATCGTAAGTACAATGCAAACAAGTGCGCTATGGTTATAATGCACAATAAATAACCTATGCATAAAACATCATTCAAATAAACAAAGTATCATAGTTTTAAGCATGATCGCTATTTACTATATCACCGCAAAGATTGTCTACTTTACCTTGGCATAATATTTACAATTGCACAAATATACTTTTAACCTATTTTATTATCATGAAGAACATTTAATTAGCACTAATAACATTGTTATTTAGTACAACATATATAAAATACTTGAAATATTGTTCCTACCTCCCTTTAGATCGATCGCGGTTAGTTGTTTTATGCTCTGAACCGCATCGATTGAAGTGAAGTGCAATGGCTGACGGCAAGTAATGTTTAGTGTTTTAAAAGAACCAATCAACACAAGGGGCCAAGCAAGTCAAAGGGCACAATCTCTTGACACCCCTTATACCCGTAATGGACTAGGCAAGATCTAAAAATAACCATAGACTAACGCTTAAAAATGATACTGCTTGCGTTAAAACTATAAACAATGACAACTTCAAACGAACCAAACCTTACATGACTTCATACCTGCCACACTTGCACAATATTTGAATGAGGTCGAACATGTTTATAGCAAACTGATCAATGAAGAACTGGTCTTTTGGTCCTAGACACAAGCTGTTAATGGAAGATTAAAACAGTAGTTTACTATATTGTGGCTTTGGGCTCATGTTGGTCAACCTCTTTATACAGAAATATAAAAGAAACCTCAGTTGTAATCTCTTTATCACAAGGGAAAACATGAAGCATAAACTGACTGATTATGAATGGCCTAAACCAGATAAACCAGACAAAACCAGAGTGAACTGACCTTCCCACCAGGTATTCCAGAGGGGGCTGTGGACTCACAGCCTGCAGCGAAGTGGATGGGTCTACGGTTACACTTGTCCGAGATGTGGAAGTCGGGCTCCGCCTTCAACAGTCGGTCTAGGGGCTGAGTGTTTGGGTTACAGGCAGCAATGTGGATCGGAGTTATCTGTTGGAGTGGGTGAGTTGGTGACATCACTATCTGACATCATTTCAGCTTAACATTTAAAGATTTAGCTAAACCTGTAGAGGTTTCCAATTCTTTGAAGAGAATCGTCCTTGGGGTACATATATGCATTTTCTGCGGCTGAAAATGTCCTGTGACAGTTGTATCAATGTTTTAATAAATATGTTGTACAATAAATAAAAATCTTTTTTATCTCTTATACGGCCCCCACCACGTGGAGTTACCTCCCTGCTATGCATGCACAGTCAACCAGGTAAGCACTTAGGCCCGTATCATCATTCCTTCTGCTGAATAAATCAGTGAACAGAATTGCGGGGAGGTGGGTGGCCCTACCCCAAGGACGATTCTCTTCAAAGAATTGGAAACCTCTACAGGTTTAGCTAATTCTTTTTCATAGAGATCGTCCTTGGGGTACATATATGCACTAACTCAAGCCTCCCAAAGACCGGAGGCTAGGGAGGAGGGAATTCTGTCAAAGTACATATAAATAGCGATCGTTAGGAAGAATGTAACAGACGCCGAGGTGTCCCCGAGCTGGTCGGCGCCTAGGAGACCGCCAGTCAGGGCACCAGGCGAAGACAGGGTGAAACCTGCATCGCCGGCGCCAGACGCCTGTGACGAACCGGAGCCCGAAGCGAGGTCGTCACAAGGTGCCGAAGGCACACCATCACCTGAGCCGAAGCCAGGATCAAGCTGCCTGGGAGGAGGCGCGTTCTCCGAGCCAGAGCTCGGGCCGCAGCCAACCCCCCCAGATGCGTCTGATCCACCCCCGACGACAGGCGTGCTGAGCTCCTTGCGGAACCCAGACAGCACCGTGTCAATCGGGGATTTCACCACAGACGACACCTGGTTAACTTACCTTCGAGATCAACACTTTGCGAGCCGAGCTCCTCACGGAGCCCGGACATCGCGCTATCAATCATCGACTTGACATTATGTTGAAGAATATGTTGCTGCAATAGTGAAGCAAATTGAGTCATATTTAAGTCAACAACATTGTTTGAGGGGGAACGATAAAGGGATTTCCTTAGAAACCTTTTATCAAATATTATCCCCCGCCTGAAGCAGATTAGTGAAAAGACAAAAAACCACAACCTCGGCCTATGAGCCACGTTGTGTGTAAACGTATGAAATATGTATCATAATACAACATAATGTAACAGGAATATTGACGCAAGGGCGTTTATTATGAGTATCCTTGATCATCGTGAGCGTCCTCGGCTAAACACCGGAGGCACACTTTATAACCATCCTGTGGAGGTAGTGTGCACGGCACAACGCCCAGGGCTTAAACTGCAACAAACAGAACCACGCCAGTGTTACTAGCAGGAACTGTGAAGCAGCAAACACATAAACACAAGTAATAGCAAGAATAACCCGCACGGGCGATATATAAATGCTACAAGCTACAGCCATTTAAATACTAAACATACAATGCAAAGCAGAAAAAGGCTAGCCACCCCTGCGTTTACATAGAGTAAAGTTGAGTGATCTGAAACGAACACTATCAAAATTACCCAACAACGACTTTACCACAAATTAAGCTGAAAGAAAGAGAATTTAGGCAAGCCTACCATATAATATGCAAACATAATATATGAACTCCTACTACAAGCCACCAAGAACATATAGCAAGGAAACCACGATCGGCGTGGTCCGCCATTTTGCCTGCCACATGGCTGGAAAACAGAGAACCCACGGCAAAGTTACAACAAAGATGAATGAAAATATCAACATATGATCGCCCATCTAAGCGCCCGTGCGTAGAGAAAGGAACCATGCATACAGATTGAGACTCTTTACACTCATCAGATCGGTGGGAGAGCAAACTCGAAACGAACACCACGACACGTCTATTCAACAGAACGACAGCATGAAAAGTGAGGTACGAGGTAGACGGCGAGAGTTACCTGCTCTTGGCTGTGTTGGTCCAGTGGGGCCCTGTAGGGGTGGTCTCACAAGACAAAACAAGTTTTTTGTTTTGTAAATATTTTATTAAAAATATAGTTACAACTGTCGTAGGATTTAAAATGGACATTTTAATGCTTATATGTACCCCAAGGAGGACTTCTTCTGAAAAAGAACTGTTCTTTTTCTTGTTCAAGAACGAATAAAGACCATACATACAGTTTTTAAAGTCTCAGACATTCTTCACAAGAGAAGTAAATCAGCTAGTAACTCAGAACATGTGCGAACGCTTGAGTGACAGCAGAAGGAATGATGATACGGGCCTAGGTGCTTACCTGGTTGGCTGCCAAGCATAGCAGGGAGGTAACTCCACGTGGTGGGGGCCGCAAATAGATGAAAAAGATTTTATTTATTGTACAATATTTTTATTAAAACGTTGATACAACTGTCACATGACATTTTCAGCCGCAGAAAATGCATATGTACCCCAAGGACGATCTCTATGAAAAAGAATCTAAGTCCAGACACCATTAAGAGAATACACATTCTGAATAAAGTCTGTAGTCCGTCTCCAATAAGTTCAAACCTACCATTTTGACAGATTTGATTCCCCACTTGACCTGTGATGGTGGGCAATTCTTCAACTCCTTGTCTGACGAGAGAACCTGTGGCCAAACGAGAGTGAGTTAGTGAGTGCATGAGTGAGTGAGAGTTTGGTTCAACACCACTTTGAACAGTAACATGACCGAACTTAGCAAGATGTGGGAGGAAACTGGCACACAGTATCCCACTCGAGTTATGTGACTTCGCTGACGGAATATGTCTTGCTCATGGCATGACGCTGCCGGGTCAGTCAAACAGTGCAATATGTGAAACATACTAAACACAACAAATCAAATTACTAAAGTATACTAAATTCGATAAGCATATACACATTAACAAGCAATGTGCAAAATTAAGGATTTTGCCTGCATTTCTTGAAGTCCTCCCTTCCCATGTAACACCCAAACCGCATAGTACTGGGGATGGATCTTCAGCTTTTGAACATAAGGGTTACATCAAATAACACTGAGGAAACATAGTAACTTGTTTTGTTATCTATATGGTGAAACAAAACCAGTTTCATATATATCATATGTGCACATATGCACATATCACTTTTGCCTAGCATCCATTGTTTCTCCATTTGCCTCTGCTCTCCTGGAAGATGTTCTATTCACAAGACAAATGATGTGGTTCAGTCGAACACTCATTAATCCAATCTGTGTGACTCTTACCGCGGAGTGAAGACTGGACAGTTTTCCCAAATGTGGATGTTCCTTTTGTATGTTCTGCATGATTATTTCAGCAAGTTTGTAATGCCCATTCTGAAGAGCTACATCAATGTTCATAAGCGCCCGTTGATACTAAAAATTGAACATAAAAACCAGGGTTAGAAATTCCATATAAGTGGGTGCCAATTAGCAGAGTTAGAATCGTAAAGAATTTAGCGTCAGTATAAAATGCTATCTTTCTAACAAAACTTTTAATGGCATGAAGCTAATGATACATGGCAACATGAAAACTTGAATCAGAGACATCAACACAGCAGCAAAACAATCATCATTATTACTACAATGTAAAGGAATGTTTAAAACAATATCAATAATACTAGTTTCAATTCATTCATTTTGTTCCATATTAAAGGTCACATGCAACGTAAAACACAACTTTGCAGATTCTGATACCTTTCGGTATGGACATACCAAAACAAAGCGTCAAAAATGCAAATTCAACTTATAAAGTTTAAAAATAACGCGATGAAAAAAACGCGCGAAATCGGAGTTCAAACGTTTCACTAATTTTCCCCAGACATTTCTGGGGAATACGGGTTTCAACAGCTGGGCTGCGCTCATAGCACGTGCGCAGTGAAATAGGTTCGCGCAACTTGGAAGCAGGCTGTCTGGTGAATACGCGGTGAAGGCTTTGGTGTGAGCTATTTTCATAATGTTTTGTTGATATCTCACAGGCGCGAGCTTTTTATATGTTATGACAGTAAATAAACTGTTTATATAATTTCATTTGTCTATTTCACCACACGTTCTTCTTACCGAGTCACTTTCTCAGTTCGATACTTAAAAGCAATGTCATTATTTAGCGTTGACACAATTTCTAACTGTGATATAGATATGTCGCTGTCACAGACAAAACTCAATGTCTTGTTTTATTGACACCTGTGTGTCTGCCTGCCTGTCTGCTAATGACAATATTCAATACAATAACCGCGATCATTGACCACATGCAATTTGAACTTAACACCAATCAGGCTATACACCATAAACAAAACTCATTGATTTATGGCCCGAGTTCGGTCTCTGTCACATTATGTAATTACACAGACAAGCAGGTGTGATACTTGAACACATGACATGTTATGATGTCTGTTGATTGCAAAATGTTATACACAAAAAATGAGCATGTATTTACAAAACCCAACATCTCTATATATATACACACACAATAAGCCGTGAAGGCGGCATCTGCTAATGAACCAGCCGTTACACTTGAGTGCACACCCACCCGCTCTGACTGGGTTCGGTATCCCGGCTGCTTCGTTTCGAGGGAGGTAAACCCAAGTACAAAATATTGCACTTTTGATTTGCGATTATACGCTTATAGTTTTGTTTATTTGCTTTTTTCATAATCAGCAATGCATATTATATGTCATGAAGAAGTGATAATTGTGTTTTAATTATGTTTGATTTTTGGGTTGCATGTGACCTTTAAGCCATGTCTTAAACTATTAGTCAGCTCTTACACACTAAATTTAAGATCCTAAAATCAGTTAAAAGTTTTTGTTTGTTGTTTAACGCCACACAATTTCCAGCTACATGAAGACGGTCTGTAAACAAACCAGTGATCGACATAATGAACATCAATCTACACAATCTGGATATATAATGACATGTGTCAAGCAAGTCAGAGAGCCTGACCACCCAATGCCATTAGTCGCCTCTTATGACAAGCATGGGTTGTTGAAGACCAATTCTAAC